GGGGGGCTCCTTCCTTGTTCTTGAAAAAAGCATAAACCCCCCCCCCCCCCCCCCAACTTATATCTGAAATGGTTATGTTCTTCAGAACTGAGAAGAATATGAACATATCAGGACAAATCCCCATTAGTTATCCTAATCAAACATACAAAGTAGAATCTTTTACTCTCCTTGTCTCCTTGCATTGGCTAACCAGGCTCTGAGTTGCTGTGTCAAAACAGTACATTATACCACTTCCCCAGAAGCACTGAGGGGCTTTTTTCTGGTTTTCTTTAATATCATATGAAGAGAGCATTTCCAGTTCTTCTCAATCTGTTGTTGTTTCCATTCTGGCTTTGCCTTTTCTTGTACTTCTCCAACACTTGCAAGAACTTTTGTCCCTGACCAGTATATTACACTGAGGGGGGGTATTTTGTAATGTGGATCTAGAGGATTATCATTTCAATCATGAATCCAAAGATATCCATAGATGAGTATGATTTCTGATTATTTTTGGATGGCACAAAATTATTAACCTACATTGGATGAAGTTTTGTCTTTTTCTGGCAGTGTTTTTTTTAGCTACCATAGATTGTCTCACTTTCCCTTATAAATAAGCTGTGTTGAGAGTATATTTCTGATTAAATTCTATCCATATAAGGGCAGAAACACCCAGTCTTTATCAGTAAGGGCTATGACTGCCCCCGTCCTTTTTGACTGATGTAACTAGGCTAGAGAGACAGAAATAACATACAGGTGCTCAGGGCTTCAGATTAGTCTCCCTTCCCTGACAGAAAGGGATAGACAGAGCGCCTCTTCCCTGAACGCTTTGTGTGACCAGGTTTCCTCTTCTCTGGTGTTTGGAATTTCTTTTTCAGGTAAAAAGAATGTTGCTGATTTCATTCTTTTCCACCAAAATGGATACTAGCATTTGCCCTGGCCCCTTTTTTTTTTCTTGTTTAGATCAAAACAGAACATATTTGTTTTGTTTTCTTCTGAGATTTTCCTAACTTCCAGTGTCAGTCTATTGCTCTGCTGCTAACCCATACCCAGATGCTGCAGTTTTCCTTAAGAACTGACCCCTCTAAGCAGTACAGAATAGGACAACACGACAAGCAGCTCTCTGCCCTTTGACAGACTCTCACTTCAGTCTAAACTATGGCAAATCTGGGGTTACAGTTCAAACTATTTCCTTATGTAGGACAGACATGCCATCTTCATGTCTGATTCACAAAGTACAGGCAATACAATATTTTTCCCTTCCTAATGACTAAGATTTTTCTGTTATTTATCTCAGTAAGGCAAGTCCCTTACCTTTCCAACCTTTATGCCTATCTTTTAATGTGAAGTATTAATTTTTTGATCTCTCACAAAATTTAAACTTTTACTCCCCAAAACAAGCATTCTTTTGGAGAGAATTACTTTTTTTTTTTTTTAAAGTACATGTAACTGGACTGAACTCCAACATTTATCTTCCTTTTCTTCAGAAGAATCTTACAGTGTCACTTCAGTTTTCTTCTTCAGTTTGTAAGTTTTGTTCTGATTCAGAATATGCCACCATGGTGTGGAGTTACTGTTTGTAAAGTAGTTAAACAAGTCACAGAAATAAGACAGACAGTAAAATAGACTGGGGAGGAGTGGGGAGTAAAATGGGTAGCTCATGTGTGCTCAGTACCTGGTGATATATCCAAAACGTTTGTATTACTAAGGCATGAAGATATGACTATGCCAAGTTTTGTTCCTAGATGTGAGGGGCTGCAGCAAAATGAAGGAGACCCCTATCTGGATGAGATCTTGGACATGCTGACTTGCCTTACAACCTGTGGAAAAACTGAACTGAAAGTTTCTGGCAATATTGTACACCCACAATTACCGCACTTTAATTTTGAACAGACACGGTCTTCTGGTACAGTATATATATATATATATATATATATATGTGGCTATGTAGACGGGTCATAGAAAAATGAAGTTCTGATCAATATGTGTTTTAAGATGGAGGAAGGAGTATGAGATGGCATCTTCTGATCTATGTGCTTAATGCTGCAGGAGCCTGAATGCTACTTACATCAAACTGAACTGACCGTGTCAGCTGTAGGGTCTGATCCAAGGTTGAGAACATGCCTCCCAATCACATCCCTCATGTCTGTGACTCCTATTTCCACTCTCAGAAATAATTTAACATTGTAGTTATGGTGCTTACAGTCTTAAATAGCATTGATGTAAAAATGATCTCATCTGGTTTTACCCCACAGGAATGACAGTGAAAAACCTCCAGGCTTTTCAGGTGTTGCAGTCCATTTTCCAGAAAAGTAATGATCAGCACCTGTGTGGAAGAATCTTGGCAGCAATTGGTACCATATGGGCCTGGGACACAGTGAACTTCTTTCTTCTGGAATGGACACTACAACCTATCAACCAGTTTACTGACATAATCCATTTCAAACCACACCCAGTCCAAGTCCAGTTCTTCAGACTGGTGGAGTCCATAGTGCTAGACCTGTCCTATGTCCCTCATGAAATTTTGAAGAAGGTTCAGTATTTGATAAAGGAAAATATAGTGCCATTCTGCACCTTAACAGCTCTCCGGTGCCTTCTCAGCATGACCAAGAAGGACCTGTTATTTAGCGACATATTCCGTGACTCTGGGCTCTTAGGCCTGCTGCTGGCACTTTTGAGGAAACAAGCCAAGATCCTGAGGAAATCAGGTACAACTTAATGTCATTCACAATGACTGTTGAAGTAGGCAGATCAATAGGAACGAATGAACCTCTTTCTACGGGCAATTTATAAATTTTATATGCTGAGTAGCTAGATTTTGTCTGCAAGCCAACTGGCCTAAGTTTATAACATACCAAGATGGGTCCTCTCTGAAATCTTAGCTGTTTATCATTCTGTTTGCTAGACTAAACATTTCTGGGCTATTCTTCACCATGAATTATTCTGGGGGGTACCATTCAGCCCACACTTTTAAACACGTCTGAACTTGGGGTTCTCTAGAATGCCAGCTTGAGAGTAGAGGAAGAAAGAGTTTTCCACAGTGCTTAGTTCCTCTGGAAATAACACTTAATCCTGAGGACTGATGATGGAAAGCAGTTTCTTGAATTTTGGCCATGTACTACCCACAATTACTACCACCCGTTGTCATCTGATGTCATCATCATATCTCCTATTATGAAAACAGGAAGGTGATAATCCTGGTGTGGTAACTGTGGGGTACAGCTGACTTAGGCGACAGGCTCACATATTTAAAAGTTTATAACTGCTATTTTAAAGAAAGAAAAATGCATAATAACATTTTCTGTGCTATATGAATTGGGAAAAACGTTTAAATTTCAGTGCAACAGTTGTTTAGTAAAGGAGGAGGGACCCAAAGTACTGGGTATAACTTCTGATGCAGCAAGCACAAATGAATTATTTATACACATTTATTTCAAGCAACAGAAGGAATATAAATTGCACCAGAAGTTCCAGAGTGCAGACATCCATTACCTGCAAGGATACTTAGATTTACATTCTTGATATCAGAGAACTAGAGTTTTGTACAAGAGTACTTGGATAAGGATTGTCAAGATAAACACCAAGGTTTTTGAAAACTTACATTCTGGTTATGAGCTGGTGCATAGGGGCTTTCTTCTGTCTTTGCATTAATTTCACTGCTTTAGGTCACTTGGTGATCTAAATGTTATAGAATGAGTGATTGAATAGCTATGTAATTTGTAAATTTAGACACACAGACGAAGAGGGACAGGTGGAAAGATACTGTGTGAAGTGATCACTACTTCCCTCTCTTGGTTTCCAGAAATTTAGCCTGCAAAATTCAAGACTTACATATAAAAATAACCTACCTTACGCTGTCGGGTCCTGGAAAGGTTTGCCTTTGAACCTGCCAGGGGTTTCTGCTCTTCACTTCTAGTTTAAGTATTTAAGTACTCCCTGTTGCTATAATATTTTACCACTTCATAGCTCATAATCTGTAAAGTTCTTTTATTTGTGTGTGTTCCTACCAGGTATCACTAAACAGGTAACTCTACGTCACTTGGGAAGTGGAAACACCACTGTTACCAGTATCGCCTATAGTTACGTGGGAGATCTGGGCTGCAGAGCATAGAATCAGACCTGTGTTTCCCAATCTCAGACTAGACCCTGATGACTAGACAATGCCCTATCTGTATTTTGTTGTTCATTTTAAGGTTCAAGTAGCCTGTAAGTAACATTTAAGAGAAAACTAGAACTTGCTGGAGAACTGGTTTTCCTTTTTGATTTAATATATTTTAGCTACAGTTAACCATGTCTTGTATAAATTGTATTATGACTTTTAATATACTGACAGCCGGAACCCATCTGCCCAGTCTGGAAGAAGGCACTGAGAAGGAATTAAATGCTGTGATGCTGAAGATGGTGGCTGCCCTTACAGTGGGGTCTGTGAGGAACACTGGTAAGAAATGACATATGACTGCATTACCTTTGTGATATTTGGTGGTAAGTGGCCGTGATGTCTTTTAAGGAGCAACAACAAATTTTCCAGCTTTTGTGCTTCAGTGAGAAGTGGAGGACAAAAGCTAGAAGTGTAGGCATAACAGTATTACACCAGGAAGAAATGTGGCAAATATATTCTCATCCTGCATAATGAGCCTTATCCCAGTAGTCACCCTGCTTCCCTCATCAGTGTGGATACTCCTGAAGTGTTTACATGGAAAACACAAACTTACCTTGTGGAAAACAAAACTCTTGTGTGTGAGTTTTGTATTGTTTGTTCATCCAGATTTTCTTTCATGATATCTATTATTTGAAATCTTGATGGGATCAGATGCATGCTGGGTAACACTCATATGTTTAGTATTGGCATACCTAAGAGGTGTATGTGTGGGAAATCTTGTGGAACATAGTAATACAGAAGTGAACTTTTCTGAATACTGGAATCCACTCACTTAATTCACTCTTGAATCCTAGAATCATCATGTTTGCAGCATCTTACACAGTGCAAACATATTGCCACAAATTATCAAATAGTCCCCTTCATAAACTAAAGAGATGTTTAAGCTGAAAGCTAATAAGGCGTCTTTTCCTTTTCATTCATTATTGTATTGGGAAGCTGTCATCTCTGATGATTACAAACCATGGTCGTCCAGTCATTTTATCCCTAGTTGTTCTTCTGCTGTTCAGTTTGTGTTGTCTTTAGCTTAACGAAGTCTTCTTCTTGCCTCTCCTGCTGTATTTGTAGAAATTTTGCACTTCACACCAACACTGAAAATCTGCCTGTGAAAACTACAAGTAAAGGATAGTTTAAGTAACAAATGATACCTTATTTGTTCCCAGTTGTTCTGAAGGACTACGGAATGGTGCCATATATCAAGATATTTTTGGATGATGAGTGCTACAGGACTGCTACTCTCAGCATCTTGGAGCAGCTCTCAGTCATCAACTATGAAGAATATATGAGCATTATTATTGGGGCCCTCTGTTCTTCTACTCAAGGGGAACTACAGCTGAAACGAGATCTGCTGAAGGTAATTAATGTGGTTTCTGACTTGGTTGTTGTTTTCTTGGAAACTGCTTGGCTTGTGGAAAATTACTCTTAATCTCATCCCTAGCACTGTGTTTTTTCCAAGAAGGTAAGCAGAAGAAAAAAGAGCCTTGGGACAGTTTTTGATTCTCGTAAATTGGGCGCTGTGATTTTTAACGATGTATGTATGGTCAACGCCTTCACTCAGTATCACATTGTGAAGCATTTTGAAGCCTTAAATAGTAATGCAGGACGGAGAAATGGAAATGGCAAAGGGCACAGTTGTATGAGCATTTCTATGTAACATGACAGAGAAAGGAGAAACAAATGTGAATGAAAGTGGAGGAGATGTGGAGAAGCATGTAAGAAGAGGTAAAGGAGTAAGATTGGAAGGGGTAGGGTAGGCATGAGATGAACAGCTTGATTCTGATTAAGTTTCCAAGGTTTAAACTTTACGGTCCTTAATTTTGTCATCTCTCACATACACCAGTGTCGTGGAAAAAGAGATGTGAGGTAATGGAAAGAAGGAGTCTTATGAATGCTTGGAGGAAGAAACTAAAACTATTCATAGCCTCTATTGTGTTTATAGAGGGTCTGATCCATAAGCAATGGAACGGGGTAAAGAATCAGTGTGCTTTATTTTGCTTTAGATCATAGGCATCAAATTGAAAAGCAACAGTGTTGTAAGCACTAATTTAGAGTTTCATTCTACCTTCTCTACCAAGCGTGAACTGAATCCACCTTTCAGCAGCTGCTTCTGTGATAAAAGAACCATGCTACTTTAAAAAAACAAAAATGTGAAAAAGTTTATAGCTTTGATTTGAAAAAGTAAACTTTAACAACATTTGTGTAAAAGTTGAGTACGGTGTCCAAACTAATATGAAAATAAATGCAGCTTCGGTGTCTAATTTTGACAAATGATAACTGTATTAAAGCATAATGTAAGCAAATGAATTTATTATCTGCATCCATTGGGACTGTGATTGTGTTACACACAAATTCAGATTGATTTGCTAATATATATTTAGCTGTTAAAGCCCGAGCCCAAATGCAATTAGCACTGCCGTATTCCAGTGTGGCACATGGGCAATTATGAGGAATAACAAATAATGGAATGTGAAATAAATTCTGTTAACGTTAACCGAGTTAGGGGGTTTCCAGCAGACATCAGTTTTATAGATTCAAGACAGAGGAATACTAACTCATAGGCGATTAAATTCTAACTGAGTTAGAGCTGGAGGAAACGTGGTTACTGTTGACCTTCTCTGAAATGTGTTAAAGCCATCCTGATAACTTCAACTCTGAGTTATTAAATTTACTCCCTGTTCAGAAGTCTCTGCCTGGTTTGATACATTATCATACAAAATTGAATGACAGTAATAGAGTTTTCCCCCCCCCCCCCCCCAGTTCTGGCAACCCTTTCTCACAATCCTAGATCCTGTTACGGGGAGATATACTTATGTTAGAAACTGTTCCTCTTCAGCAGGTTGTGAAGTGAACCTCTTTCATTGGATATCTGTTGGGAAACTTCATATGTAAAATTAGCCCTTTCCAATGTGAAAAGTCACAGCCTCAAATTTGAAAGTTCCCTGGTGCCAGAAAGAACATCATATTTACGAAATGAATTGTGTAACATCCAAAAAAACTGGGATGGATTACATTCAAATACAGTAGACTGTTTTCCTTGAAAGCTCTTTTTTCTCACTAATTTTACTTCCACCACTACAACTCTTAATAGCTTTTCTAGATTTGTTTTAAAATGGCAAGCCCATAGCATTCAAAATTTACAAGTGGCATAGGTTGGTTTTTATGCATGTGTAATAATTGTCAGGTGACATTCATTTATAACCTGCTTTAAGCCTACTGAAGTTAGAGAAAATCTAATGACTTTGTTATCTTGGGATCTGACTCTTTATGACTTTTTACCTCCAAAGTGTTGTGCAAACTTTTTAAAAATAACTCTACTGAGAAAGGAATTATTATTGCCTTCCTTAATGAGGAGAGCCTGCTGCTTGCAATATTCTTTGGACCATCCTGTGTCACTGCTTTTTTGGAAAGGGTCTGCTCAGTCCTATGAGCAAAAGTCTAGTGTGGCTGCTCATGTGTATTCAGGGCTGTAGGAAGATTGGCCTATAGAGAGCTGCGCCACCTTCTCAGTTTCTATATGAGGTTATTTACAATTGAATATCTGCTTTCATTTAATTAAGGCAAAGGCAGGTTTCTTGAGAGAGTCTGAGAAGACTGATGAAAGAATAGCCAAAGGTCTGAAACTACCTCTGGCCAAACTGACTAGGATATGTAATGTAGGAAATTCGATTTCTTTGCTTATTCCTGTGAGTACTATTCCCTACCTGTCAGGCTGACTGCATGGGTTGCTCCTGAGGGTGCATTCAAATCTTGGTTGTTTGACCCATTGGGTATAAGGGAGAAGGGAAGAAGAGAAAAGTTGTGCAGTAGTGACCTTTACTTTGACCAACTTTTTCTTTTTTGCTTCAAAATTTCACTGAAATTTCAGTGAAAGAATTTTGGTGCAAACTTGGAATTTTAAAATAGTCTGAAGCTTCTTTTTCCCTTGGTTTAAGCACTTCTTTTGTCTCCTTTCTTCCCGATGTTTGTAGTCACTGCTGAGGATACTGGAGAGTCCCAAGAGCCATTCAGCTTTCAGAACCTGCAGTGGATTCAATGGACTCCTGTCCCTTCTCTCAGACATGGAAGGTGCACTGCAGGACCCTCCATCTGGGCTGTGGACAGCAGTTGGGCAGAATTGCATATTGGAGCTTGTTTTCTACACACTTCAGGGGATAACAGCAGCCCTGCACCTGGACCCTGTCAACAGCAACTTCTTCCAGAGGAATGGTCTCTTTGAAAAGATGGCAGAAGATCTCGGGTCACTTGGATGCTTCTGGACACAAGGGGAATGGCAAATCCCTCTGAGCCTTGAGAAGACAAGGACGTTTGCAGAATTCTTGGATGCAGCTTTCTGCTCTTCAGAACCTTTCCCAATGTGGCTAAAGAACTGCATATGGATTCTAAATTTTCTTGATCACATGGTCAAAGGAACCCTCCATCTGGAGAGCTACTTCAAGGAGAGAAAGCCAGAGATGGGAGAGGCATCAAGAGATGATCAGGAGGCACTCCAAGCTCAAGAAGAGCACCCCGTTGTTTTCAAAAGACCAGGCAACAAATTACCTGCCTCTGCCTACAGGCTAAGGGATAACCCTGAAGAGAAGTAAGTCTTTACTTACTACAGGAAATATAGTGGTAAGACTGGTATCTGCATTTTATATGGTAGTAAACTGAGGTAAGGTGTGACATAACCTGCCTAGAACAAACAAATCAGTGCCACAGTTCCAACTCCCAGGCCTCCAGACAGCAGAAATCACCTCTTTTGAAAGGTAAATGATGGTAAACAGTGGGGCATAAGTGTTCAGTGGAGCAGTGGGACACAGAGCCTTGAGAGCTGCAGAGTTTGTGCTGAAGGTTCTGACACATGCAGTGTGGGAGCAGAACTGGGCTCTAAGGAAAGAGTTGCTGGGACTTGAAGCTTGCGTTTAGTCTCTGCTTGAATCTGCCCCGATCAATTTTGACTTTTTCAATTATGTGGAAAACTGTTTCCAGTCACCTGATACATTAAAAAATAAAAACTCTTTTAAGTTATTTTAAATTCTCCCTTGTGCTTTTGTGTCCAGGCACATGTGTACAGACACACACTCTCACTCATTTACTCATACAGCTGAAATCGAGAAAATTGGAAAAGGGATAGTAATGCTGCCTGCCTTATATAATGAAGGATTATATCAAAATATATATCCTTTGCAGGAAGGAAAGACTACACTAGAAATCAACGTAGCTGTCAGCTGTGAGTCAATTCTGAATAACTTAAATTTCATAACTTGTGAAATCTTCTGCCCCTTCATGTGTCTGTAGCTTTATCTTGGATCTCTCAGTCCTTTTCTCAAAAATGTTTCTGATTGGAGTTATGCTTAAAAACGCTAAGTTTATAACTGTGAGATTCCTTCAGCCCTTATTGTAGGTTATTCCACAGTCATCTTCCAGGTTTAAAGACCAAGTCATTAGGTCTGCCACTCGTAGCTAGCAGTCACTGAAGTCAGCAGAACTTTTTTCCCTGAGTACAGAGACAGGCTGAGTAAGTATTTCTGGTCATATTTGTACTTGTTCGAAGCAACTAGAAAAACCTGCAGTAGATTTCTTTGCTCCTGTGTAACTGATTTTAAAATAGTCATGGAGATGTTTGCTCCCTGTTACCACTCTTCAAATTACACTGGAAGCTTCTGGTTAGATACTCAGTGCTGGTGAGAGGACTTGATGGCTGAGGAGGAATGAATGCTCTTTTCGAAGTGGATCTTCCTAGCCCCATTTGGGAGAACGTCAGTCAGTGTGCAGAGAGCGTATGAATGGTGGTCGTTGTGAGAAGTCCATAGCCTGTAGCTTAAGTGTGTGTATAAGGGAGGCCCAGGGAAGATAAGGGAGAAAGAGTAGATCAGTGCAATGCTGGGAAGGGTATGGCTCTGTCTTCTGCTTGTTTTTCTTAAGTTACTAGATCTGAAACATAAAGCAAGGCTTCCTAGGTCCTTGTGTTGTTTTGCCGGCTAAGCTGTGAGGCTGTGCAGTAACTGAATGAATACCACTTATAGAGAAATTAATCATGTAAATTGGGATCCATTCAGTTCACAGTGTCTGGTTTGGGACAGTTTGGCTTTGGTTCTGGGATGTGAAGGCACAAAAGGAAGCCAGATTAGCTAGAGGTGGCTGAAGAGTGTCCAGGACAAGTGTATGCAAACACAGCAGGGGAACACGTACTGGTAAGCTGTCAGTCTTCAGGCCACACAGTCCGCATCCTTTTCCAGCAGTAAATTTTCTGAAAATAAAAATAAGAAACCAAGTTCCCAGAGTTCCTGCAAGCCTGTGGTTCCCCTGATGCAGCTTCCTCTTAGCTGTGCTCCATGCTCACACTTCCTCCTGAAGAAGGCTTCAGCTTGGGGCTCTGCATCTCGAAAGGAGGAACTTCAGTGCAGTCAGTGTAAGTGGACTGTGATGCCCCATCCTGCAACATGTATTTAACATTCCTGAAGAGGGGGAAAGGAGGTGATCCTATGGGAGCCTGTGACTGAGACACAGGAAAATCAGCATTTTAACTGGATAATATTCTAGCCCCTTACACTGTCCTGTGGTCAATGATGATGCAAGCTGCTGCGCCAAAGGGGAATCAACCCTTTCATTCACATCTAAAAAACAGCCCTCTGTGTTCGTGCTCCTGCATGAATGTTTGAAACACCTTCTGTGACAGATGGGGTCTCTGTTTTTCCTTTTCCTCCTGGTAATTAGAGGTAGCTTGTTGCAAGCTGTGTTAACTGAGGCTGATCTCTCTTTGGGAGAGAAGCCCCTGTTCGTGCCCACCCTAGCAGAATGGCTGCTGCAGCTGCTGTTACCACAGACTCACCATGCTAATGGCTCTTCAGGTTCTTTGCGGAGTCTCATTTTGTCCCCAAACCCTCTTATTTGTCTTATTTTTAAGTAGCAGCCAGTGCAGAGCAGATTTGGGATTCACACCATGATACTGGTGGGGTAGATGGAGTGGAATCATGGGGTTGACAGGATAGCCCTGAGACAGGAGTGTGAGAGATGGGATATTTGGAGGAGTGAGGAGTTGCTACATGGAAACAGCTTTTTGTACTAAGACAAGCCAGAAAATGAGGTCCTCTTGGAAAACCACAGAGAAGGCTGGAGATAAGGCTTATATAATATTCTTAGAGGGGAGCAAGTATGCATTGCTGGGAGGGAAGTTGAGGTGTAGTTTGATGCTGGTCAGGGACTCCGGGTTTTCCTTCTTTGTTCTTCCTTTTTAACAGCCCTGGAGAGTGCTAAACCTGCCAGGCAGTGCCCCAAAATAAGAAAACATCTCCTTATAGTTATGACGTCTTCACCATTTCATGATTCTATTTATTTTTTTAAAGGATCACTTTCTATTATTGTCTTCTGATATTCACATTTTGTTAGCTCACGTTTTACTTTTACTACACATCATATGGGTTATAAAAAAAAAATTGTCTATATGAAAGAAAAATTTTGAGGTTCGGAGGTAACCATATTTCTTCATTGCTTAAGTCTTTAGGAAGACTGCTGTGTGTTAGGAGAACTGGACACACTGCCTGGCAATGTATTTTTACAATGCTAGAGATGGAAGTTTGAATTGAATTGAAAGTTTGGGAAGTCAGTCCTTGAATACAGTGGCTTAGTTTAAAAATGAACTTGCTCTGGGGAGCACAGCCGCAGCAGGAAAACAGACTGAAATTTCAATGCTATTGATTCTAGTGGGCCTGGATTTCTCTCTTTAAAGGTGGTTAGGGTTTTTTGGGAGAGATGGGAGGAGAGCATATTTTCAGTCTGTGCTTTTTTCTTGTTTGGCATTTAAAAACTCACCCAAATTCATGTCAAGTACAGGTGTATGTGTCCACACTAGAGCCACTGCTGCAGTAAGTATTTTTACCAGATCCGATTTTGGTTCATTACACAGAAAATATTGCAAATGGGCAATTTCTTTGAAAGTATCTTTCTTGAGGGTGCAGTAAGAATTATTTGTCACTGTGTGGCAGTGTGCTACACATTACTCCCTGCTCTGATGTATCAGGTGAGCCTTTTTACAAGTGGCTAACATGTTAATTACAGCTTTTTTACCCTCCTTTCGGTCCCTTGTAAAAGCTTTTTTCTATATTCACTTTTACTTGTACCCTTTGTTTTATACACTCCATAAAGCATATCGTGCTTTATTTTTCCAGTGTAATTATGGCTGTTGGATATTGCCTTCGCTTTTCTCATGAAATCTGTTTGGGACAGATGTTTCTGATAGTGCACATCATAACTCCGGTTCAGAGGTGCACTCAGAAATGCTGATGATACTCTGAACATGTCGAGCCTGCAGTGCCTAAACTAGAGTTGGTGCTATGCTGTGGCTTCATTTTGAGATGTATCTGACCTCTAGCCTGCATCATGGCATAAGCAGATGATCTCTGTGGTAACTCTGATCTCTCAGTTCCTTCCTGTGCCTGAATGTACAAAGGTGATAAGTGGCAAAAATGAAAACTGGTGGGGAAGCACAGATATTTAATTTTCTTTTACTAGTTTAAGCAGGTTCTGGTGTTGGAAGGGAAGGGTGGCATACTGATTTCATCAAGATTGTCTCATCTTTGCTTATTGCTATTATGGTTTGAAAGTACTGAAGTTATTGTCTGATTAAAGTTACAGACTGCTTGAAAATAGAAAATATAACACTAGTTCTGGGCTGATGCATCAGAGAGATCCCTCTGGTTGTCTGTTCCCTGTGCTGCAAGTACCTTCAAAGGCAAAGTTTGTTTAAAGAGGCTGCTGCACATCTTTGAATGTACAGGTCTCTGAAATGTGAGCTCATGAGCAGGTTATGTCCTGTCTTTGTTACTCTAAGGAGGCTTCCACCTGTTCCAGGTCATCTGTATTGTTTGCTTAGTTTCAAATGCTGAGCCTGGTTACTGCTAGGAGGATTTAATGCTGCACTCTCCTGGAACATTGCTGGACCCTCTTTGCTACTGTTAATGATAATTATGGTGATAAGTCTTATGCGTCTTTTTCCTGCAGGTGGCAAATGGGAGACTGCGCCATTGTACATCCAGGTGCTGTCTGTGTTATGGTGAGGTTGCTGCCAAAGCTGTACAAAGAGGGACACTCTCAGGTGAGTCTAAACATATCAAAGTGTCATCTAAACAGTGTCTACTACTTTTCTGTAGCTTCATTTCCAAGAATTGCTTACTCTTTGCAGCTGTGGAAGTACTAAAATTTACCTAGAACACTGGCAGGAGGAACAGCACAAATTTCACTGAGTGAACAGATATAAGAAAAACAAAGGCTCTTGGCTATCAGTTTGACTAAGTGTTTCTATACCTGTCTGATGCAATGCATGGGTCTTGGTCCCAGAATACTTACTGCAAAGGCACAAGTGTAGAAGTCCCTTGAAAATTGTTTAAAAGACTGCTAATGGACCTAGCAACCAGAACAGTCTGGCTCTTGAGGCCTAACGGTCCATAAACTTTCAGTGAAGCTTAGAATCTGCTTTGCTTTGTCAAACCTTCCATACACACACCTGCTCTGAACAAGCATATTGTATCTGCTATCTGATCCAAAATACTTGAACACAGTTAAAGTACATACGGAGGGATTGAAATAAAAGCAGATTGTTCATCCGGAGCTATGGAAGGTGGGAATGCAACTAACTGCTGGCACATCCCAACACTGTGTAGCAGAACTAAGCCATCATCTAGTGAAATTTTGTTAATTACAGTAATTAATTTCTGAAAAACAAGTAGAAGAGTTAATTGGATGAGAGAAAATGTCATTAAGTAACTACTGGAGTTAGCTTTAGGGCTGAGCTCTACGAGAAAGTCTCTCAGACCCCCACTAGATGGCAGTGTTCTTAAAAATATGAAGTGCTAGAGCACAAATTCCAGCAATTTCAGTTCTGTATTTAATTGCGTTAGTCTTTTCTTCCTTTCTCACTCCTTTTTTCTTAGTCAACAAGAAATTATTACTGATGGTGGTTTTTTAGTATTTCTGTTGTGAATAGGATTGCCCCAGGTAAAATGGGACCACTGTCATGTGGGGTCCTGAGTCAGACTCCAGCTAGAAGTTAACACATGTCCTGAAGAGTTTTTCATCAAATGACCCACAGAAAGAATAGAGGAAAAATAGAATTTTTCTGACTAATTCTATTTAAAAGTGGGTGAGAGAATGAGTGTAACCTCATGTCCCATAGCTTGGGCAGCTCACTGATGCTGTCAGCTAGTGACAGAAAAGGCTGGACTTTAGTACCTTTAATCATAACATATACTACTGCATGAACCCTTGTGAAACAAGATGCTACTTGGCAGACGGGAGTCAGGCAAGATCTGATGCAAAAGGTAGACCTCAATGACGAGTGAAGGGGAGGTACTTCGTAGAAAGTAATAACTGAAGGAATTTCCCTTTGAATAGATATATTCTGTCCCAAACAGGGTACTGTTCTTTCTTTTAGTGCAACAGTGTTTGACAGCTATATGAGAGATGAAATAATTTCTTTGTGGATGGAGCTTTTTTACTGCAGACTTTCATTCAAGGGCATCTTGCTCTGAGTTTAATACTGAGTCAAATAGTACATTTTTTAGGAGCAATGGTGAAGAACAGACAGTAAGTCGTCTCTTTCTGCTTGTTTTAATGATATGACAGATCTTTTAGGCCAAGGTATTCAGGGGTAATCTGGAAAAATCTTCAGAATCAGTTCAGGTCACGTACAAATCCTTTGCTTTCACAGAAATGGCAAAGAGAGAGCACTGCTTTTACAGAAACATTAATAGAACTCAATAAAATTAATTTACTTTGATTCTTACCCTCAGAGATAATATCCATTTCCTGCCAAATTTGCTGCTTCTCAGTGACCTTTGTCAGAACCAAGAAGTGATGGGCTGAAGCAATGCTGAGCCTGTCAGCATAGAAAAAACATTAGCAGACAGTAAAACAGGTGGTCTTGCATTTCAGCCATTTCTTCTGAGTGTCTACAATGACAATTAAAAGCTGAGGAGAATAGATTTGTGATTGTATATTACTGTCATTGCTAGGTATGATCAAAAATCATTTGAATGTCATATGGGTATGAAAATTTGCTTAAAAGCCTTAAAACCCCCCAAGAGACAGTAAACTGTATTTAGAGGATATTGCTCGTGTTCATGCCTAGGACTGGTACTAAGCCAGTTCGCATCAAACTGCATACAGTTTGACCAAATACAAGGTGGATTTTCCTTTTATTAATATGCTGCCTGTTCAGTGATGAAAGATGAGCGTTGTCACGTGTTTCAAAAACTAAGTACAAGTGAGACAAGTTAACATGCACTTTAGATATGTGGCTCAAGATATTCACAGATTCCCCTTAGACACATCTCATTCTTGTCTGGCATTTTGGAACTGTGGCTTTTAAGACTCCAGGGTGTCGTGCCAGATCTATTCCATTTGCAATGTCAGACAAGGAGATCTCCTAGATCTGATGAGGTTGGGTAAGGAAAGAAAAGAACTTTTGAGAAGAGACTCAAAGCATGATTCAGTTCTCTAGCATCACCCTGACAGGTTTCTTGTGAGTACGGACAAAAAAATCCTCACATGATTCATTATGTAAATTATCTGTACTTTTGTTAAGTAATATTATTGCTGCTACAGTTGGATTTGTCATCTGTTTTTATCTGTGTCTCTCCTATGATGAACTGCTGTCATATTCACTGTTGTAAAACTAAAACATGCATCAATAAGTACTTTCCACCCTTTTAAAACACCTTTATCTCTGTTTTAAATTTAGCCTAAACTAGTTGTTCTCACTGCAGACGTTAACAGCATAACACTTTCCAAGTATTTGTACTTCTTAAAAATGTAAATTCTTTCTAAACTGAAAAGGTCTCTAACATAGTTAGATATGGCCCACAGAAGACCCCGTGACATTTGAGATTTGTCTGCCTTCAGACATATAGTACTAATATCACTGCTAATGTAACTGTTAATATCACAGTGAATTCCTAAATTACTGCACTGCATTATCTGCACGAGGAAATTCTTTGGGTATTTGGCCAGAGCTTAATTCTCCTTGGGTTGTGCAGCCAAGGCTTTGGGAGAAAGGAAAGGAGAATGGACAAGAACTCTGGTAGGAGGAAGGGAACTAGAAACACCCTGGCAGTGGGTCCTCCAGCCTGGGCTGGTAGCTGAAGGTCAGGTCTTTCCCCTGAGCACTTTCCTGCAGGCTTTGCTCCAGCCTTGTCTCCTGGGGGATTTTTCTTTGCTGAGCCTGTTCTGATTACAGCACAACTTTTTTTTTTTTAAAAGAAAATGCACAGCCTGTCTGCTTGTTCTTTTCCAAGGTTATTTTTGGGCTTTTAGTAAGAAGTTGGCTTGTTCATTGATCAATCAACTTCTGAAGCTTTCACTGTTTATACAGACCAAGCAATTTTCCTTCTGTGCTTCCAACTCCACAGCCTGCCCTTTTATTTGTCCTCTTTCTCTTGCTATTCACTTTCTCCTTAAAAAGCAGCCAGTGTCTCTGAAGTTGCACTAAAATCTTGGTAATGTACCCTGGGTTGAAGAGATAGGAACTCTGCCAAGAATCCGTGGCTAACTATACTGAAGATAATTTTCTACTTTGTCTTGTTTTTCATGCAATCGTATCATTTATAAGGTGGCACAAAGAGACAGCTTTGCCTTCCTCTCAGGTGTCTGATGAACATCATATTATAGTACTGCACAGTAGCTTAGAAAAAGGAGAAGGAGACACTACATTCAGCTAATACTGGGGAAAAAAAAATACTGCAACTAAATGTAATTTGGCAAGCAGACAAGAGGTCTGTCAGACCACAGAATTAACAAAAGGATTCTTAACGTTACAAAGAGATTTTGTTGCCTGGCTTCATATGGTCAAGACTTGCTAGTATATTTTCTCTAGAAGGCAATAGTAGCCCTGGTATTCATACGAGGAAAGCTCTGTAGCTTCTTTTACACATAAGCTGTACCAAGGGAAAATGTGAAAAGCCTCATGGAGATGACATAATTTATGTGAGGCATTTAACTAGGCCCTATCTAGGTCATGTTTTTGGAAAAGCAGAAACAGTTCACACAGTTCACAGTGCTTTTTTCCCTGTGTACTTGCAAGGAGTGCATGAACACAAGTTATTCTGTAACTCTGTAAAACCAGTTATACATACTGTCAGCAAAGTAAGTTTTGCTTGTTAAGGGCAGTGGCTGAGAGTTAATCAGCAAAATATTGTGACAGAATGGCAATGTGCTTGCAGCTGGGACCTATGCATCAGGAATTTGGGCCGTGATGAATTTATGAATTATTTATTTTTGATAACATTTTAAGGAAAAAAAATTGCACAGATGATTTTCAGAAGTGAGGCAAACTCTCTACAGACAGTGGGTTTTAAGCTGATGGATGTCTATGTTTTCTTTTGAAAGCATGATTTAAAATCCTGGGTCACTTGGAACTTTTTGAAAGTGCTACTTTCAATGCCTTGATTTCTTCATTAGTAAAATGAAATCTGTGTGGTATGTTAGGTTAATTCTAATTTTCTATGAAGGGCTGCTAGCTTTTCAAGTGAGAGGTGCTCCTGAGACTGAAAAGTAAGTTTGATTTTTGCAATTGCACACAGAATTATTATTATTATTATTAAACCCAAGAGAATTACATCCTTTTGAAATGAACCCACACTGCCAAAGGTTCAAAGTTCTTGCTCATCTTAAACATAGCATAAGCATTTTGAAGACTAATAACAGTGAATTAAATTCAGCTACCAAGTTTTGAAACTATGGGCTCTTAGGAGCAAGAATCTGGGAACTACGTAAACAGATTGGGTGAACTGCTAGGTGACATTTTGCCCTTAAGACTCTAATCTGAGGCAGAGCTGTGAGCCCAACTACATTATAACTGCACCTTCAATATCCTGACTCATGGTGCAAGTAATATGTGTTAGGAAAATCAATCCATGCATATAGAAACACACAGCCTGGTTTCCTGGCCACCATTAATATTTCCACTAAAATCTTATTTTACTGGAACTAAGATCCATGAAAACAGCACGTTTTATTCAAAACAAGGCAATACTGGTATTGACAAAGCTGCTAAGCTAATGAATATAATCAATTTTTTGTATGCCATTATGCTTTGATTTATTTTGGAGTAAACCAGTAGTTTCACTTAGTCAAGACCTATGTCTTTCTCTGTTTTCATGTGGTTTTATACACCCAGATACTTTCCTGCATCCAGTCAAAAATGGAGTAAAATACTAATTAAAAGATCCAAAAAGTTATAAGTGAGGGTTTGATACACTGTAGCAATAAGTGCCTCTCCCTGAAGAATAGTGTAGTTCATTCTGGTGGGTGATTTCTGTATGTAATGAGATGCACAGTGAAATTGTGTCACTGAGAATGATGTTATCCAAAGAACTCGCTCTTCAGATATCAAAAGTAGTAGTTGAGTTTACAAAAGTTTACAAAAGCAATTTGCATGTTACCTTGGATGTGCTAGTATTATTGTCTAAGTGTTGCAACTGGGGCTTTTGATTGCTATGCACTTTGAAAACAAATTGCTTGTTGGCTTTGAATTTGTCCTGTATTGGTTTTGAGTTTGGTCTGGATGCAAAAGAGCTGAATTCCTCTTTACACTTAATAAGCTAGCTTATTCTGAATCCAGTGAAGTTGCTTCTCATTCATGTTATAAAATCAAATCCCAATGTCCTAATCTGCATGTCTGCCACCATTGTTGTTCTTTTCTTTAAAAGTTTGCGTAGCTATTTCCTAGAAGATCATATGAGAAAGCCAAGGAGCTCTTGGGGGCGGGGAACATTTCATCTTTGTAAGATTTGTGTTTAAGTATATGAGGCACAGTTAGATTTATGTGAAATCTAGTTAGATCAATGGGGTAGGCTCCATTCCTAATTGGGAACAAATTGCTCTAAAGATAATTTTTGAGAATTGAAATATTTCTTTAAGACCATTAAGAAGCAATAATGAAGTAAAGCTTCAATTCAGCAAAACATAGAATCATAGAATCATTAAGGTTGGAAAGGACCTCTGAGATCATCGAGCCCAACCTGTTAACCTAACTGTCTGGTCCACCTCTAAACCATGTCCCTAAGCACCACATCCACACATTTTTTGAATACTTCCAGGGACTGTGATTGTACCACTTCCCTGGGCAGTCTGTTCCAATGCCTAACCAGTCTCCCCATGAAGACTTGTAGAGAAGTGTTTAAAAAAAAACCAAAACACTTTAAAAATAAGTGTTTCATGACATTGCTAGATACAGTTTTGTTTAAGAACAGTGCTTTTGGAATGAAGAGTAGATCATGTCAATATGACTCTCCACATGCTTAATGTTAAATATATTCTGAGTTACTGTGTTGGTCTTGGAGCTTATGCCTAATAACCTGCCCTTGGTGATGGTTCCTTCTTTTGAATGAGAGCCAATTGTTCTCTTCCTTCACTACTGTAGTGTTCTGGCAGGAAAGCTGAACTGGGGATGGTTGCACCATGTACAGTTTCAGTTCCAGCCCACTGACTTCAGTTCTGTGTCTGTTTCAGCTTTCACAGGAAATCCAATGTGCTGTCGTTGATCACATCCAGTCCCTGGTGAAGTCAGAGAAGAGCCGCCAGGTGACGTGTGGATCTGGCTTGCTGAGAACCATCATAACTTCCTGTCAGGATGCTTTCCGCAATGAGAGCCATCCACTGCATCTGCCCCTCACTAGAGTGTTTGAGAAGCTTGCATCGCAGGCTATTGAGCCAGATGTGTTAAGGTATCAGATTGTATCTAATGGAACCAATTTGCTTTAGCGGAGCAAGTTTTTTGCAAAGTTTGTGTAATAATCGGATACTTCATTTAGTGCTCTGATTCAGCAAGACTCTTAGCCTTTTGTTTCAAGTCTCAGTTAATACTACTCACATATTGATCACAGGTTATACGCTTAAATGACTTACTGAAGATGGTATGAGTCCGTAGTGTTCTGCTGCATCATCTCTGCAGGCATTGTAAAGCCATTTATGAATGGTAACTAATTAAGTAATTGCAAAACAACTAGGGTTATTCTTTCCTGGTATTCATATGGAGAAGCTGTTTCTTAAAGAGTAAAAGTGACTTTCCCTTAGCTCAGATCCATGTTAATGACAGATGCAGAAATAAGAAGTGTAGTCTTGTTTCTCAGTGTCTGTTGTTTCTACTTTGAGGATGTATTTTCTTCGTTAATGCTAACAAAAGCTAGGCATGAGAGTACCTAATAGAGATCAGTGCAGATGAAGTTGTGTAAAATTAAATTTATTTTACTCAAAAACAGAACAGAATTTCTTTAAAAAAAACCAAAACAAAACAAAAACAAAAAAACCCCACCCATAGATTTTTTCTGATAAATTATTAGCATTCAAAAGTATTGCTGAAGAAAATAAACCTTTGATTTTTTTCAACAGGAAAAAAACCACTCCCCTTGAAAGGTGAAGTGTAATGCAAAACAAATATTTGTAATGATACAATGGAAATCATTCCTTCTGGTTTATTTGAGGTGTCTTTAAAATTTGGTATCCAATAAGAAATCATATAATCATAGAATAGTTTGCGTTGCAAGGGACCTTTAAAGGTCATCTAGTCCAAGCCCCCCTGCTATGAGCTGGGACATCTTCAACTAGATCAGGTTGCTCAGAGCCCCATCCAACCTGACCTTGAATGTTTCCAGGGATGGGGCATCTACCACCTTTCTGGGCAACCCATTCCAGTGTTTTACTACCCTCATCATAAAAAATTTCTTCCTTATATCTAGTCTAAATCTACCCCCTTTTAGCTTGAAACCATTACCCCTTGTCCTGTCGTTACAGTCCCTGCTAAAAAGTCTGTCCCCATCTTTCTTATAAGCCCCCTTTAAGTATTGGAAGGCTGCAATAAGGTCTCCCCAGAGCCTTCTCCTCTCCAGGCTGAACAACCACAACTCTTTCAGCCTTTCCTCATAGCAGATGTGTTCCATCCCTCTGATCATTTTTGTGGCCCTCCTCTGGACCCTCTCCAACAGGTCCATGTCCTTCCTGTACTGAGGACTCCAGAGCTGGACACAGTACTCCAGGTGGGTTCTCACCAGAGCAGAGTAGAGGGGCAGAATCACCTCCCTTGACCTGCTGCCATGCTTCTTTTGATTCAGCCCAGGATATGGTTGACTTTCTGGCTGCAAGCACACATTGCTGGCTCATGTCTGGCTTTTCATCCACCAGTACCCCAAAGTCCTTCTTCTCAGGGCTACTTTCAATCCCTTCATGCCCCAGCCTGTACTGGTAACAGAGGTTGCCCTGACCCAGGTGCAGGACCTTGCACTTGTCCTTGTTGAACCTCATGAGGTTCACATGGGCCCACTTCTTGAGTTTGTCTAGGTCCCTCTGGATGGCATCCCATCCCTCAGGCGTGTCAAGTGCACCACTCAGCTTGGTGTCATCTGCAAACTGGCTGAGAGTGCACTCGATCCCACTGTCTATGTCATTGATGAAGATATTAAACAGTACCGGTCCCAATACGGACCCCCAAGGGACACCACTTGTCACTGAACTCCATCTGGACATCGAGCCGTTGACCACCACCCTCTGGATGCAACCATCTAACAAATTCCTCATCCATCAGTGACAGACTTGCCCATCAAATCCATATCTCTCCAATTTAGAGCGAAGGATGATGTGGGGGACCATGTCAAAGGCCTTACAGAAGTCCAGACAGATGACATCCGTAGCGCTTCCCTTGTCCACTGATGTAGTCACTCCATCATAGAAGGCCACTAGGTTGGTCAGGCATAGAAAGAAAGTTGGTCTCCAGAGAGCTGAGCTGTATTTGCGTGGTTGCTATGACTCCAAAGTGTCTGGCTTGATTGTTTTCCTTTTTTTGTTGCTTTCTTTCTTTTTTCATGTTAGGCAATTTCTTTGGTTGGGAGGTTCTCCACCCCTACCTTCCAGGACCAGCACAAACAGGACTGAGGCCCTTCCATGTCAGGGGAGTGATTCAGCTAACGCAGCTTGGAATGAAGGTAAGCACACAATGAACAGCCTGTTGCTGATACAGTGGCTGGGTTATAGATGTCTCTGTAATGACAGGAAACTGCTGTTGGAGTAGGTTGCTTCAGGACAGTCACAGTGAAAGTGGCATATGCCTGGATGTTTTAGACTGGGTATCGCCCAGGTTGGGTGGTACCTGACCAACACTGAGAGCTGATCATGGCCAGCAGAGATCAAATTATAATACGTGTGCTGAAACCAGATGCTGACATAGACTCAGACTTTGCTAGACCAGTCATGGCAGCAATCTATAAAAATACTAATCGTATTCCACAATAGTGTCTTCTGGATTTGCAGTGTGTTTTCCCTGTGGTTTATAGCTAGAAATAAAGATGTGAATAAAGAGCACTGCTTTTTGTAATCCCTAGGATATCCTAGTAGTCTGCCTTGCTTATACAGACCATTTTCCATCCAAGTCCTTTCTCTGTTCTAACGTATTTGGAAGTGATAGGCTATAGTAGTAGTATTTGGCACTTAACCTGTTCTCATGCCTATGAGACACCCAATACAGTGTGGTGCAAATTTGGGTCTTATGTTCTTTGCAGTCGTTCTTCAGATCCTCTCCCATGTGTTGGTTATAACTGTTCTGTTATGGCAGAATTGAATGGTCTGTGTATAAGAAAAATGGAACCAATGGGTCAGGAACCTTTTTTACTGGAGGTGAAGTTTGGAGCTGCCTGAAGATATGTGGGGAGAAAATATGACTATCTCTTCTGTAAGCTCATCTCTCCTGCCAGCCTCCTATTTTGAAATTCCTTCAGTGCAATATTTTTGTGTATTGCTGAGGATTTCTGCAGGCTGCTGAGGATGTTAGTTGAAGAGCATGCAGTGCTGTTCTTAGCAGTGATGAATTGAATACAGGCAAGGCCTGTGACTGAAAAAAGTATTTCAGACACTGATCTGGTTAGCCACTATGTTGATCTTGTAGGTTCAGAAGAGGATATGTTGGACAATAAAACTGATCCTCAGACAGTTGTGCCTGTCAGCAGCTCTCCTTGGGTGTCTAAGGGATCTGCATTGGCACTCCAGACTGCAATGAGTCTCGTCTCCATGACGTCACCTAGAAACTTCCAGCTCCGCAGCACTGCTTTGGCTCCATCATTTGTGGAGTTTGACATGTCTATGGAAGGATACGGGTATTACTGCTGTTGCTTTTCTCTTTAGCTGCTTTGCAGTCTCCAGGCCCTTATTCTGGACACAGCAACTAATCACTTCTCTTTCCATCTTAGTCAATCCTTGTGCCCTATCGCTGCTTTCCTTGCAGCAATGTTGCCAACCTATTTTGTTATTGTCCTATTGCTGACAGCCTAGACTCTGCCTTGCTACCATGATTCTGCAGTATTAAGTCACTGGTGACCTTCAGGGATGATTTTACGTTTCTGATGAATGTGTTCTTGCTTGCTTTTGTAGGTGTTTATACCTCCCTACCTTGGCCACTGTCATGGGACCGAGTGCAGAGCAATCTGTCTCAGGAGGAATTGGCGTGGGTAAGCACTTTGACTAACCTACAGCTTCCTGAAAGCACTGACTTTTCAGCCCCTGAAAACATTCAACATTTGTAAGAACTGGCAGCAAATAAGCTGTGTGTTTCAATACACTTCTGTCTCTGTGTCCCAGTCCAGCTCTGAGCTGTATAACTCGGACTGCTCACCAAAATGCAGTATCAGATGCAGCTTAATAGTGTGATGCATTAACATTAACATTAGCAATACAAATTTAAAGCAGGCTGCTAAGAAAACAGTCTTAACACATAAGAGCCACCAGATTTTAGGGTAGTCTCCCACAGAAGGAATAGAAACTGTCACTTAACATGAGAAGGGATTCTCCTACACATCAAAATCCTCTATTGGGTGAACACGGAAATGGCTGTACCTCTTGCTTACTAAATTTTGTGAACTCTGAGAAAACTTGTTTCTGGCTCAGTGCTTCCCAATTGATGAGCTCTGTGGCATGGGGATCTAGTAGTTATTTCTCATCAGTCAATTTTAGGTCGTTTATACATGTGCACACACTCAAATGTGCAGTCTCTATGTTATTGAAGATAGGCAGTGAAATCTAATAGAACAGAACAGAAATTAAACCTCATATTCTAATGTTGGTTCTTACATGGTTTGGGCTACAAATAAAATAGAAAGCAGTTTGCTAATGTCTGCACAGGGAAACCAACTTCCTTACTGCCTTTTTGTCTCCTGCCTGCAGGCACCAGAATATTCCCTCCCTCAAGCGGTCTGACTCTCTCATGCTGGTTTCTGGTTAGCAAGTTTGGTTTGGTGCACAGCAGTCACCCACTCCGTTTCTTCACAGTCGTGAGGCACATGTCAAGAACAGAGCAAGAATTTGTTTGCTTTTCAGTAAGCTTCTTCCCACAGGACCGTTCTTTGGTCATTTCCACAGAAGAAGTGGAATTCCAGCCACTTGGTAAGGCTCTTCTCAGTCAAGCTGCAGTGCTGTCTCCTCTGATTATCTGGAATTTTTCTTTAACAAATTTCCTTTTCTTCTAAGTACCCAGGACGTTAAAGAGACTTTTTATCTCTTCGGTTTTCTTCTGGCAGCCTGTTGTGATTGTAATTCTTGGTCATATTTCAGTTTTAAGTTTGCTGTAGGCATTGAGAATTATTTTGTGGCCTGCAACATACGGGAAGGGTCTGGAGCACAAGTCTTATGAGGAGCGGCTGAGGGAGCTGGGGTTGTTTAGTCTGGAGAAGAGGAGGCTGAGGGGAGACCTTATCACTCTCTACAACTACCTAAAAGGAGGCTGTAGCGAGGTGGGTGTCGGTCTCTTCTCCCAAGTAACAAGTGATAGGACAAGAGGAAATGGGCTCAAGTTGTGCCAGGAGGTGTTTAGATTAGATATTAGGAAAAATTTCTTCATGGAGAGAGTGGTTAGGCATTGGAACAGACTGCCCAGGGAAGTGGTACAATCACAGTCCCTGGAAGTATTCAAAAAACGTGTGGATGTGGTGCTTAGGGACATGGTTTAGAGGTGGACCAGACAGTTAGGTTAACAGGTTGGGGCCCAGGGAGGTGGTGTAGTACCATTCCCTTGCCTTGTTCAAAAAACGTGTGGATGTGGTGCTTAGGGACATGGTTTAGAGGTGGACCAGACAGTTAGGTTAACAGGTTGGGCTCGATGATCTCAGAGGTCCTTTCCAACCTTAATGATTCTGTGATTCTATAAAACTTACAGATATTCTGAGGAAAACTTTTGAATGTCAGTTATATGTTTGTGTGCCCTTGTGGGGACTGGACTTGAACTGGACTGGTCCCTGACTGTTCTGTGTGGCAGTAGGCAGGTAGGTAATTCAAACGTGAATGTGATCAAACATTGCAGAGGAGGTTGGGAATGGAGTCAGAATAGTAGCTGGGATTTTTTCATGCACAGCTGACATTGTGTGAGCGCTCTGATTCCCTTACATGACGTTAAAAATCCCAGCTTGCCTGTTTTCATAAAAACAAATTAATGAAATTAATGTAGAGTTTTATCATTTCATGAATTCACTATGAATTTTTTTCTGTGTCAGCTAACTTAGTGAATATTCTGAGGGGTTCTCTTAGAGAATATGTTGGCTTTGTCCTCGTTCAGTCTAGTTTTTCAGCATTGAGGCAGCTAGCAGGTGTTATTTGGGAGTATGGTACGTTGTATGCTGGAGGGATCTTGAGAGTTGTGCAAGTCTCAGGTCCTGATAATAGACCATCAGGGAATGTTTTAAAGACATTGAACAGAATAGCACCAAATCACTCTATACCCACAGAGAGTCATGTTCTTTGTGTCACATTTGATAGCTGTGTTCCAGAGGCAGGGGAAAGTGGAGAGACTTTCTGTTGACTGCCCCCTGTTTTTGCTGTTACAGATATCATGGAACCTGAGGGTGAGGTCCTAAATCCCTCCCCGTTTCCAGGGCAAGTCCAGTTTGGCTGTGGCAAGCTGCTGGTCACTGGCCAGTGGCATCATCTCACAGTAACAGTTGCTAAGGAAGCAAAGAAAAACTGCATTGTGTCAGCTTATATAAATGGTCAGATGCTTGGCTCTGCAAAGGTAAACACTCTCTGCATAGATCTTGTGCCTGACATTTGCCTTTCATTGCTTTTCATTTTTCATCTCCCCGTGCACATACCATGACTTTTCAGTATTAACCCAAGAGACTCAAAGCATGGTGATTTACATACATAAGATGTGCCACTCTGCACTGTGTGTGAGTGGAGTCAGAAATCCATACAAACCAGGGTGCATTTGTGCTGCTTTTCAGAAGTATGTTATCAGCTTATACTGATGCTTTGAACTAGTTCCTCCCTCCCCCCTCAGCATGCAGATAACCAGGGCAATTTTGAGTGGTTACACTCTTCCGAGAGTTGGGGTTACCTAGTTTGCAGGTAGCTCAGGCTTATGTTGATGAAATTCAGTTGTACCCCTAGGCCAAAATTTTCTGAATTGACTAGTGATTTTGAGGATCTCTCAGTTTACACCCAAGATTTGCAGAAATTGTCAGCTATAAAAAGTACATCACATTAAGGTGTGACCAGAGAATGCTAAACCGAAGGTGCTTTGGATTTAGGCTAAAACCTGCAAAGGTGATGAGTTATGTAGGGACCCTCCATTTTTTAAGAAAGGCCTGGAAAAGGGAAAAGGTTGTAGAGAAATAAGCTTCTGTGACTGGCTAGCTCTTTGCAAGAATCCCAAGATGGATGGAACTTCCTCAGGCATCTTACACGGGCTTGTTTCAAGCTGTCCTCTTCCTGTTACACCTATTGAACAATCAGCTGATGAGTCAGTGGCCTTTTTCCACTGGCACTCTAAGCATTCAGGAACAGATAAATGTTCCTCCGGGTTAGTTGTTCAGCGTGTGAGATAGCTCTTGAATTAAAATAATACTTCTTTTTTGAGTTAATAGAAATGAAAGAAGTGTTTCAATTAGGAGAAATTTGTAAACTTCAATGATACCAACTCATGAGTTCATTGCAAATGTTGGTGTAGCTACTATTTCCCCTAATGTGCCATTTCTTGTGATCTTGTTGCATAGGTGTCAGTTTCAGGTTGCCTGAGGTATCACAAGAAAGCAATCCAAATGCACCTGAAGGGTTCATAATCTACAAGATAAATGAGAAGAGCCCCTGGTTTATATTATCATTATCATCATGCTCCTGGTTTTGAAGCCAATCTCAAATTATTTCTGAGATTTTATTTTTGGATTTTGAATGCTCCAGGCTGGCAATGTTGAAAATGCAGCCTGTTTCTACTGCAGCTCTGTTTGGTGTGGTGTTTTTTTGTTTCTGTTTTGGAATAGACTCCTTTTATTAGTTGAAACTTGTAACCTTGGTCGCTTCCCTCTTGTTCTCATATTTCAAATCAATCTCAACACATGCAAAGCTCACTTGTCTGCTTTATACTTCCCTTGTAAAAGCAACCTGTTTAATTCCAAATATTCTCTTTCCCATACTTGAGAAAAATGATCTGACTTCTAAATGCCTTTTGGGACCTATATCTATTTCAAGAATGAAAATTTAATTTAATTTGCCTTCCTTCAAATGAGACTGAAAGTCATCAATAAAACTAGGCCTAAGCACTGCACTTGATTAAAGAATTCACAGCAAATGTGTTTAACATACAGTGAAACAGTTCATAATAAATAAAACAAGCCTTTAGTAAATAAAAGATGGTCCCAGTGCTGGGGTCTCTGACGTGATGTAAGCCTTCATCCTGATGTGTACAGTGAAGAAAAGATTGTGTAAGAAATTAGAATTGCACAAAGGTTGTTAACAATGCCAAAAGCTATTTTTGGGTGGTGGAGCTGGGAGTGGAGGGGTAGGTTACTGTGTTGTCTCAAGCCTAATATTTGTTCACTGAAGTATCAAGTCCTGCCTGCTAATATTGACTAACCTTTTCTTCTATATCTCAGTAGTCAGAGATCAGTAAATGCTAGGAGTCTCTCATCCTAACAGCAAATTGTTAAAGGCAGGGCTAAGCCCTGAAGTACAACATAGTTTCTACCAAAAAAATTTCCAACTACTTCCTACTAGAGCTGTCCATATTTAAATAAAATAATACACTCAGTTTAGGATGCTGAATCCTTATTTTGACACCAAAAATAAATGGCCCAATTTCCTAAGCTATGTCACTTTCACTGAAGCTAACTGATGCACTTGGGCACTCGACACTCTTCAAAACCTGTTTATTCTCTAGGTGCCTAGTACAAGATGTAATCTGTAACTTGGCTTTCTGGGTTGAAAGTCACAGTCTGAGTTATGAAGTTAAGAACAGGAAAAATACATCTGGGGTCAAGATAGAGTTTTTTTGCCAACACTTGAAATTATTTTGACTGTGTTTTTTAAACAAAAAGTAGGCTTGAACTTTCCAAAATGCTTATGTTTGTGATACTTCTGAAAGTCCAATTTCTGAACAGTAGTTGATAATTGTGTCGCACAGCTAACTGAGACTTCATTGAGGAAAGAAGCAGCAGACAGTACCTTCCAGGGACAAGACCTTAAGGCACCCCGAGTGTATTGAGTCCCCTCAGTGAATTCTTCCTCTGTTGCAGATGCAGTATCTCCAGCCCTTACCAGGTAGCTGTATTTCCATGGAACCCTCTTCCTTTGTTGATGTCTATGGGTACATAGCTACTCCTCGAATTTGGAAACAGAATTCCTCCTTGACCTGGCGCCTTGGCCCTACATACTTGTTTGAAGAAGCCATCTCTGTGGAAACCATGGAGGTGATTAATAAGCTTGGTCCACAGTACTGTAGCAATTTCCAAGCAGTACAGCTTCAAGGTATGTGATAATTCTCATTTTCATCACTATTTGTTTGTCAGGGCAATGCTCTTTTTATTCTTATAATCTGCTATTAGTATTCCAGCTGTGCCTAGAACTCTGCGTTACTGAGTGTTGTACAAGATTGCAGTAAGACACCATGAGGGTCTTGTAACATACTGTAAATTGGGCAGAAAAAGAAGGGCAGGAATCAAGCAGCAGAGTTGGAGAGTAAAGAGGGATAACATGTCCTTGAGCAGATGTAAGATTGCAATTTCTGTTGGACAAGCATTAAAGCAGCAGCTTTGGAACTGAAACATTGTGCATTTATGGTGCTACAGGAAAAACACGGCAGAAAAAGAAGCATCATTTGTAATTTCAACTGCCTGCAGAGTAGGAGAGAGCACAGGGGAGAGAGGAGTAGGGGAATAAGTTACATTCCATTTAATGAAGAGGCTTTTTAACTAAAGTATACTGTTAGCTTCAATTATTAAACAGGCAGACAAAACATTTCAGTTATTGATTACAGTTTGTTCAACAAGTAGTGCATTCACCTCTGTACTAGCGCTTGGGATGAAATGGGATGGTCATCTCTGTTTGAAAAGAGCAGAATAATTCCACCTGGTGATGCTCCAGCCTAAAGCAAAGTGAAAAGACTGGCTTAAAGTACTCCTTCAGAATGCTGTCTATCTAGACCAAAAAAATCTCCAAGTCAAGCATGGGAAGGGGTTGTTGAAAGAGAAATTATGTCAAAATACAGCCCTAAAAATTATTACCAATAGAAGTCAGAAGGGTCTGATTTTTGAAGTGTTGAGTCTTTATAAAGTCTGGAGTGCTTGTTCTCTGCACACTGGTCTCCCCAGCTGGACTTTAGTACTAATCATGGATTGTGGCCATCTGACTCCAGTGATGCCCTGATGCAGGGAAATCACAGGGCACTATACAAGATGTGATCTCATCATTGTGAAATGATGTCTCTCTCTCTCTCTCTCCCCATCCCCCTTCCTCTCCTTTTTTTTTCGGGGGGGGGGGGGGGGGGGGCGGGGGGGCCTAACATCTCCCTATTCCATCAAAACACCCAAGGAAACTTTTCTAATGGAAATTTTGACTTTAAAAAAGTTTCAGCACAAAACCCCAAGATATTACGGTTTATTACTTAAAATGAATTTATGTCCTTGTTGCAAACAGCAGTTTAAATTGTTTCAGCAGTGTTATGTCCCATCTCACCAGTATCTTATTGCTTCTCACTAATCATCGGCAGCTGTCCGGAGGCTTAGCCATAAGTCCCTGTCCTATTGGAAGGAAAATAGGTGACATAGTCTTGGGGCATTTACTTCTAGTTAATCTTCATGTAGAATATGTGCTAATTCCTTTTGCCTCTAAGGGCTGTGTCACTAGCATTAGTAAACAGTTCCATAAATCAGCTATTTTCCCAGTCTATAGAATTGTCAAAAATACAAGATTTTTTTTTAAAAAAGGTACACATAGTTTTTCCAAGTGCAAACAGGAATAGAAAATTCTTTAAAGAAAAGCACGTGAGAATTTCATACAATCATTAAACTGCTGAACATAGAATCATAGAATCATAGAATGCTTTGGGATGGAAGGGACCTTTAAAGGTCATCTAGTCCAGCTCCCCTGCAATTGGCAAGGACATCTACAACTAGATCAGGTTGCTCAGAGCCCCATACATCCTATCCCTGAATGTTTCCAAGGATGGGGCATCTACCTCCTCTCTGGGCAACCCGTTCCAGTGTTTCACTGCCCTCATTGTAAAAAATTTCTTCCTTATATCTAGTCTGAATCCACCCTCTTTTAGTTTAAAACCATTACCCCTTGTGCTATTGCTATTGGCCCTGCTAAAAAGTCTGTCCCCAGAGCCTCTGTCCTTTTTCTTCCACATGAATCCTTGCTCCTAGTACCCTGAGAAAGCTCCCAGTAACACGGAAGGCCTCTGAAAAGTTTTCTCTGCCCAGAAAGTTTGTTTATCTTGTGTGGACAGAGAAGGGTTTATTCTGGGCTTTTCTGAGCTTCATGAGATACTGGGAGAGGATGTAGGATCTACACAAAGCAGTAACCAGAGGAGACAAGCCAAGCACGTCTCCTACTAATGCTTATGCTGGCAAGATGCCATGGACTGTTGCAAAGGGTGAGGGCTTTTTTTCTGATCATAGTTAAGTCAAAATCAAATTCCTATCTAAACGTTGGTTTCCTCCAGTTATTTTTCATCTGCCTCTCTCCTGTCTCACATGTTGAGCACGCAGAGTTCCTTCAGAGGTTTATAGTCTCTCTTGTTTTAGGGGAGGACCGGTACAGTGATCATAATCCTGCACCTCTGGTGGCAGAAGAGAAGATTTCTTTTGGAATCAATGCCATGTGCTCATCTGTCACTACGGTCCAAGATATAAAGAGCTCCTACAATGAAGTGGATGGCCGGCTGATTGCCAAAGAGGTCACAAATTTCCCTCATTTGTCTTAAACACCTTTCCTCGTTTCTAATTGGTTTCCTACAGCAAAGTTTGTGACTTTGTCTTAATTGCATACCTTCAGTGATTTTTCTTCCAGCTTCTCTTCCCATTCCTTAACTCCATTCTACTCGTGGTTTTGTTTTCATCTGTGGAGAGGAATATATTGGACAGTGTGAACACAATGTTAAAAGCCTTTCTTGAAACAGCAACAGAAGCCATAGTTTTCAGGTCTAGTGATAATTTGTTTCAGTCTGTGATTTATTAATGCCTTCACGATGACCTTTCACATGCTGTTCTAGCATTCTTGCCAATGCCAGGCTTACTGACATGTCAAAGTAATCCGGTTGTGTGGTATTTTAAGTGGGCGAATGTTTGTCCTACCAATCAACTTTGAAGGAAAAAAAGTTGTTTTCATAGTCAAAAAGTAATAAAATAATCTAAATTATTAGAGTGTCTGCTTATTACTTTTTGTCTCCCCAATATTACCATGTTTTTTCTTAGGATGTCTCTTTTATGTGTTTTAGATTGGGATTAGCTCTCGGGACAGTGCAACTCCAATATTCCTGGCTAAGAATATTGCTGGACACCTCTCAGGTTCCTTGCGGACTATTGGGTCAGTTGCTGTGGGCCAATATGGTAAATGCGCTATACCTTAACGTTTTATATTTTTTAAGAGTTGGGCCTTTCTCTGTCCAATAACAGATTTACTTCATGTAACTTCCTGGTAGACTAACTCTGCAATTTCCTAGGGGTAAGAGTGTTCCAGTCGTGTCCAGCAGCTACTAGCCTGAACTTTATTGGAGGCCCTGCCATTCTCCTGGGTCTCATTGCTATGGCCTGTGATGACCACACCATGTATGCAGCTGTCAAAGTCCTGAACTCCATCCTGAACAGTAGCCCAATGAGTGAAAAATTGATGAGGCATATGGGTGGATACCAGGTAGATACTCTTTTGTTCATTCATTCTGGATATAGTCTTATCCCAAAACCTGTCAATGACAATGAACCAAGCATATCCTGGCTATCAGCCCTTACAGTTGGAACTTTGTAAGTTATGAGATTTTTGAGAGGGGGATATAGGATAGTGCCCTAAATCCTGTGCTTACAATCTCTGGGAACCTCTGTAACAGTATATCTACTGATGGGAAGGTGAGGACAGATGCATCTTGGTCAGATGTGATCTAATAATGGAAGGTGTCATGCTGACCATATTAAGATGACTGTAGTTAGTAAAGTCAATGCAGCAGATTTGAGCTGACCCACCCTTCACCTTTTACCAACACACTTGATCCCTCCCACAAGAGACCACTTCTCAGGCAGGTCTGCTTCTTTCCCTTGGCTCATCCAGCCTAAGATTTCTCTTTACAGATGCCCAGTGCAGGGCTGGCAATGAATTCCTATGGCTCAGTCTTCACTTCAGCACTGAAATTGTGCTGATATAAATAAGTGCTGCCTGGATTTCAAACTGTATTGATTAGATCTGTCCTAAATACCTCTTTCAGACCTTAAAGTTGTGCAGACTGAAGAGTTTGGTTGTCTCAGGGCTTTGGGAGAACCAAGGCAAATTTTAAGCACTATATATGTAATATTGGATGGGTTAAGGCTCAAGTATGAAGTTTCAGTTCAGTATCATTTACTTTATGCTGCACAGGCTAAGCAGAGTCTTATGGAATAGAGAAGAGTCTTTTAACAGAGATGTTTCCAAGTGAGGCTCTTAACATTAGGGCTTCATGAATGATTTATTATAAACTTTCCATTTTCCCAATTTGTGAATTGTTCATAAATTGATCCTGATTCATATGAATCTATTTATCATACTTAGATATTGCTTGCCCGATCCTTTCTTCTAGGTGAATGCCAGCCTTTAGATTGTGTATGAGCTGTTCCTTTCAGCTTTGTGCTAAATAATGTTCTCTTCACGTGACTGATCATCATGTTGCAATGGAGTGGTTTTGCTCTTTGTTTGGATGTCTGAACCTTTTTTTTTTTTTTTTAAACAGGCAACTCATAAAAATGTGTCTTGATATGTATTTTCAAATGAATGTCTATTCCTCCCAACCTATTCAAAATGTAGTGGCTTTCTGAAGATTTTTCCTGCTATATCAGGAATTCATTGAATAAGCAAAGATAGACTCAGTTGAGAAACTGGCAATGTTTCACACAGATGTCTTTCATCTGAAGAAGGCAACATTAATTTTTTTTTTTAAACTAACACCATTTGCAAGCAGCTAAGAATACATCCATGAAGAATAGTGTCGAAAACCTACTGTAGTTATTTAAAAATATATTTGTATGTTGCATTTTGTAAATTCCATTCAACATAACATGGCATGTATTTTGCTCCTGTTCAATGCCACAGAGTTGTCAAACTCCTTCAAAAACTTATCTTTTCACTTACTGCACAAAATTTTATGCCTGGACTGAAATCTTCACTGTCTTCATAATGCTTATGTAAGATGTATGCATGCATGACCATTACAGCCAAATAAACTGTAAAAATAATGTTATACATTAAAAAATAATGTTATACGTTAGTTTATAAATACAGATTTATACTCAGTAGATACTTATTAAATCTTTTTTTCAGTTGCTGACCTATCTGTTGAAGAGGAAGACACAGCTGTTAAACAACAGGATTTTACAGTTAATGTTCTCCCTAGTGGGCACAGCTGAGCTTGGCTTTGAGTCTTCAGTCATCAAGAATTATAGTGCATTCCAGTATGTTCTGTGCAACTTTGAGGTAAAACTATTGATGTTGCCTTGTGGGTTTGGCCATATTAAAGATGTCTTTATAGTATGATGTTTGGTTTTTTCATAGCACCTCTTGGATCCAATATTTGGGATGGGCTGGTGTGTAGTCATTTTCCACACTGTAGCTCACTTGGGGAGGTGGTTTTGGAACAGCAGGTCCTCTGTCACCATGGCTCTCCACTGTGCCATGGTGCACTTTCTGGAGTGTTCCTGCAGATCCTGAAGACCTGCTCCTCAGGGCTTGCTCAGGAGCAGCAACTCCTCACACCAGCAGGGATTTCCCAGTGCCTGCGGGTTGTCATTGCAGAAATGACTGAGTTTATGATGTTATCCTCCCTGAACTACTTTTAATTTTTTTCTCTGCAACAGGTTACTGTCCCCTCAGCTCAGCAGAGCAGTAAAACCTCTGCTTTCCTTTGTCTTTCAGCTTTGGATGAAAGCACCAGAAAATCTTGACCTTGCTCTTTTTTCACATCTTGTGGAGATCTTGAAGTCCTCCAGGTACACAAGCTAGTGTTTGAATCAGAAACATGTGGGACAAGCTCATCTGTAACCTGAAGCTGGAACTGTGAGGTGGATATGAAGGGTCCAATCCTATTTGGAATCAGTGGACTCTGGGAGTGAATCATTCCTATATTGCTCTTTCAAGGCTAGAGTTAGTGATTTGATCAGCCCCTGCGATGACTGTGGGGCCAGACTGGGAAAACCTGTCTAGTGACCTCGTTCACGTGGAACCACTGCTGTACAATGAAAGTTTAAATGTCTGCTGGGGAGGGGAAATCTGAATGTTTGAATTGAGTATGAAATAATAAAAAAAATTATAAGTGAAGTTGTGTTTAAAACCAAAACACAACCCAGAAAGACTTTTTTTATAAGAGTATATTTCTTAATCAGCTGCACTACAGTTAAAGGTATCTGAAGAAATGGCAGAAGGGCTGAGTAGAACAGGATGAGTAGAAAAGATTCCTTCTTTTTAGTACCAGAAAGCTCTATGCAGAGCTGTCTGGTGTCCCTTGCTGAGTTTTATAAGAATATCATTTATTACCACCAACTCACTGCTTGAAAATTCAATAATGTTGTTTTCTTTGAACTCGTTGAAATGCAGAAGTTTCCGGGCGAGAGGGCAGATGGGAAGGGTAAAGAACACACAAAGAAGTCTTCAGATCTCCATTGCTGACACATATTCAATTTGTCTGACAGTGTTTGAAATGTTGCCAAGGCAACATTAGAAGCCAAAGGTGCAAAGTATCAGTGCAACCTGAGATCCTTTTAGCTGAAACCCAGCAAATTTGCTTCGTTCCAGTAAAAGCTTTTAATAGTGCCTGTGCTTTTTTACAGAGATGGATGTCAGAATGCTGCACTTGCCTACCAGGTGCAAATGGTGCCCAAGCTCATTTTCCTCTTCAATGATCCTGAAATCAGTAACTCCAGGATCACTGTGGCCTGCACTATTCTCTCCCATCTGTTGCAAGGATACTTTAACACAAGGGATGTTCTCAGGTAACCTTCAAGTCTATAGCTTTTTCTCAGTTTGCAGATGAACTATACTCCTGCCAGTGTTGGAGAGAGCTCTATAGCACAACTTCCCTCGCCTCATCTTTGGCAGGAGCCACCAGATCTTTGGCAACTGCAGGATGCTCACTGATGAAAAAACTCTTTCATGCTTTCAAAACAGAGTTTAGTCCAACCTTATATTTATGTGAGGATGGGTTCGGTGATGACCCTTACAATGATGGCACAAACAGCTCTGCTAGTATGACTGGCACTACTCAAAGTCTGTGCTTAATATTTGGCTTCATTAAAGCCTGCCCCTGAAGTTTTGCAATTGGTATAGTATTGCAACTTGGCCCCAGTCAACTACGTATCTAATCCTGTTGGCTTGGCTTATATCCCAGTAGCTATCCTTTTTGTTCTTGAATTTCAATCAGTTAACATATGTTAGTCAGGATTTGATGAAGCAAAGAACTTAAATACTTTATTTTCTTTCCATAAAATGTAAACATTGCTCCATTTTATATTCCCGGCCTAGTTGCATCAGCCTGTAGCCTATGAACTGAGGAAGGTCCACACAGTGCTGTCTACAGCCACCTAACTCCAGGGAAATGCACTGCACAGATGACAGCTCTGTTTTTAAAGCTATTTGTCCAAATAAAATGCAGAAACAGAGTTGCGTGTTGAATCTGTGGTCTCTGCAGTCAGCCTTTAGCTCTGTTGAAGAGTACGAGCACCTCAAGTAGTTACTGTGGAGTAAGCTAATACGTGAATTTACTGCTTGCAGTCCATTTTGTGGAATTACTTGTATGGATTTGTATGAGTTAGCCTATTCTTTTTTCATACAGGTGTGAGTAGTGGATTTAGTATATCAAATTTGCCATGTGGTAAGGAGCGTGAATGAGCATTTTTCTTAAAATATCATGATTTTTTTATTCCATGGTAATTTGATTGGTTGTTAGGCCCATGAGTGCTGAACGAGTGGATAAAGACAGTCCCTATCCTTTCAGATCCAGGAGAGCAGAGACTATAGCAGGCTCTCAGCAGCACTCAAACGTGCTGGGGTTTCTGCAGGTCCCAGACTTTTGACACATCTAATGGAAATTGCTGTGTGGACTGTTCCTGCAGAACAAGAAGTGTTCTGTCCCTTAAAAAATGCCCTTCTTGTGGGCAGGAGGAGGTTATGCACTTTCACTAAGTGTGTATGTCACATTAATCTATCTATCCTTAGAACCAGATAATGTGTTAAAGCAAACTATAGGTGAAAAGAGATTGCCAGTCCTCCTCCCTGAGTAGCTGCTGAGGTTTCTCTGCTCTCCTCTGTGTGCTTGGAAACCAAGTGGAGATAACAGTGATATCTGAATGCAACAGGGAGTTCAGAATCTTTTGTATGAACAGAGTGCTTAATTCAGTATTGCTTTCCTCATGGTGCAAGACCTTTAAAATCAAGAGACAAAGAGAAAAATGTTTCCATAGTAGAACAGATATTATTTGCATTTGTAGATAGATGTCCTTTTTATTTGCTTCCTAGTTTGTGAACTTTTACATTCCTATTTCAACCCTATTTCTGCAGCCATTAGAATTTCCAATGGTTGTTGTTAACAGCCATCATTAATTGGTATTGAGATTTGCATGTAATCTCAAAGTAAATGAATGTCTGTCTTTCTGCTGACCAAAACTGGTTCCCTCTTTCTCTGCAAGGATTGGATTGTTCCTTGTTTACACTTTGAAACCTTCTTCTGTGGATGAAAATCAGATTTGCCTGGGCGGTGTGGCTGAGATGCCCAGTGAAGGTGAGGAGCTGCCTTTGGTGTATGTGTTCTGATAGATAGCTAAAGTACTTCCCTTCTTCCCCAGGGCATGATGAACCCTAAATGCAACATAGTGCTTCTGCCTCCAGTGGCAGGAAGAGACACAATTCACGTGACTTCATCTGGAAAGGGACAGGCTGCACTGAGGTGACCTGAGATTGTGGGGAAAACTTATATTGCTGCAAAGGCATGATGTGAAGAATAGTGAAGTGACAGTCACTGTTTATATATCCAGGAAGGCCTGACCTACAGCAAGATCCTTCTCCTGCTAAGGGAGTTCCCCTTTTGTCCTCTCTCTGCTAATGAGCCAACAGTACTGCATTGTCCAGAGCCTACACAATGTTGGATTTCACAGATATACACAGAGATGAAGGACATAAAATTGAAATTTCCCCAAAACTAACGTACTGGGCTGTTATGAGGAATAAAATTTCACTTGGCATCCTGGATTTTCTGTGAACGCTTTGCTATGCTTACAGTTGTAGCAAATAATAATGTGGAGCTCTGCACCTTTTAAAGTATCTGTGTATTTATGTCAATTTTGTGTGTGTGAACTTCCAGTCAGCTGGCTTTTCCATTGTGATCTTTCAATTGAGACTATATTGGTTATTGCACCTCTAAACAATATATTATATTAAGGAGACACTGTTAACTGTAGTTTATATATATAGACATCACAGCTACGCAATACAAGTCAGATTGCCTATTAGCATTTCCCTCTCTAGTTAACCCGAGATTGCTTCCTGTGGATTATTATTCAACATGTAGTCTGGATGAGTTTCAGGTAACTCTAAAGAGAGGACTTTGACAATGTAAGCACTGGTCATTTCTGATGTTAGCAGGAATTCTTATGTCTAAAGTCTGATGTCTGCATCTTCTTACTTTACAAAAGACTAATATAAGTACTTCCATTGGGCTAATCTGGTGCAAACAAGATTGTTCATCAAAGCAAAGGAACATGTGTTTTGTCTCTTCATTACTCTTTATTACTTTCTGATATTTGTAGCCTTAAGCCAAACATCTGGAAATACAATCTGGCTTCGAAACCAGTTACTGAAGACGCTGTTAGATGTAATGCACTCAGACAAACTTCATCTGTCCTCTGAGTAAGTAGAAACAATTTAGGAAGGCGTGGGTGTCTCTGTCTTCTAGATTTCCTCTTTACTGGTGCTTGACCAGAACTGAACATACTAATAATATTTGAGTCTCAACAAAATAGTAAATAAGAGCAAACTGGATTCAGAGGGGTTTTTTTTGTCAGTGATTTATGTGGCATTCACACAGATGTATGATCAGATCACACATCTGATCTCCATTTTGAAAAATGTTTAAAGTTTTCAGAAAATGTCTCAAAGGAGGAACTTGAATATTGCTGTTTCTTCTGCATTGCAAGGGTTGAAGAAATCCCAGCTGCCTTTGAAAATCAATTCAATTTAATGTGGGATTACATGCAGCTCTCTATCGTAACCATGAACATGCAATTACTATAGTTCTGCCTTGTATAACTGAAAGGCAGAGTTCATAGTGCTGGGTGCTGTAACTGTGCATTTTCATTAGTTAACATATCTTGGACTTCAAAATTTAAACCGGAATTTTGGATTTCGTAGGTTGAAAGATCTAGTCTGGGATGTAGTTTACATCAGTTATTGATACACACTCTCAGAAGAGGCTTCGTGTTAATGAGCTTTTTTGTCTGACAGTAATATAAGGTTGGATTTAATGGGAATTAAGCGGCTTGAACTGTGTGGATGAGTCTGCTGTTAAATCTTTATAATTCTGTGTTGAAGTAAACCTTTAATCAGATTTTTTTCTAGAGAAACTTGAGCTTCTAAATCACTTAGAGATAATTTTAAATAAAATCTCCTTTCTGTCTTTCACCATGTCTCCTTTCATGTGCTTTAATTTCCCTGTTTGTCCTAGGGAACAGGTAGAGACATTTTTGGCACTGGGGCCAGACTGGTTTCTGCTGTTCACACAGAGCCACCTGCACTCTAGCACGGTTGTGCTAGGAATCAAGCTACTTCTGTGCTTCCTCCACAATCGTTTGCTGCTGAACAAATTCAAGGAGGGGACAGTGGCTGGGCGCTGGCTGGAAAACAGCTCTGTGGGTTTGAGTATTCTAATGGGTATGTGTTGGTTTAATGCTCCCAAAACAATCCCTTGATTCAGCTCAGTGACAGGAGATCACTGAAGTAGGTGATAGGAGAATTCCCACTGATCTCAGTAGACCAAGAATTAATATTACTTTCTAGGTCAAGCTTGTCCTAGTACTTCAGCTTTTCTGTGAAGAGTGGAAAGCATTGCTTCTCCCTTGCATGATAGTTGGCATTTCTGATTAGCAGTTGCAGGGAAATGGGCCTTTTTGTCTTGCATAAAATCAGGCTAGTTGATAAGCCTGTGAGGTGTTCAGATGTCAGCTTGTACCCTGAAACCTTCTGTTTCTTTAAGATTTGTTCAGCTAGCTTTTTAATAACTAGACCTGTGGTTCTGAGAAAGGGAAGAGAAAGGAAGAAGAATAATTCAGGGAGAATCTCCTGTAACAAAAGTGATAGTGGGAAAAATTGTTATCTGTTACTCTGAGGAGGCTTTGCGAACTGTTGATATTGCAGCCTAGCAGAGTACTGAGTGGCCTGGGACACAGACAAATGAGGACAGAGTTGGGTCAGTAATCCTTCCTCTGATATGGCATTTAATTTTTAGACACTTACTCAGAATATTTTCCTTTTCTTTTCTTTTAAAGATAATTTAAAAACTCATCCTCCAGTGCCTGACAACAGCTCCTTCTTGATTTTTGGGTTTTCTGTGTTGCAAAGATGTCTGACTGATCATGTCCACATCCCTGAGATCTACTTGCTCGTGGCAGAGCTCTTTCTGGCAACTCCACAGTCTGAACCACCTGAAGCAGCCAAGGTATGAAAAAAATAGTGAAATAAGGAAATTTGTGTTCATAACAAACTTGTTCATGCAGCTGTTTAATGATATTTAACCACAGCACTTTAGAAGGTAATTCAGATTAGCTTCCCTGTCCTTACATTGTCAAGACTCATTAAAAATCTCAGAATTAGTGGATTTGGGTACTGTCCCCCAGTGTCCTGAGAAGCCATAAGACATTTTTGCCCTGACAATGCCAAAGATATCTTTCAGAAGAGGGCAATTAATTAGTGCTATCCTAGGGAAATGCATTTAATAGGAGAGGGAGGAGCTGCTGGACGTGAAGATGTTTTGGGTTTTTACTGATTTAGAGAGAGCAGGCATTGCTCTTGATGTATCATCAATAATTCCCATCTCTTCTTGAAATATATCTCCTCCTGTTGTAGAAAGATCTTGAGTCTCTATTGCAGTGGATCTTGCAGCACCACGTTACGGAGAACGTGCTCAAAATTGGGTTGTGTGCAGAGGCAGCTGCTTTACTGCTGGAAATGGTTAGAGTTACTGTGGACAAGGTAAGTGTTTTGTTACAAGGACAGTGCAGTGTGAATGGCAGAATAAACTGCCTGAGAGTGTCAGATGTTAGTGGTAGTCTTTGCCTGTAACCCCTAGCCTTCCTCTGCCCTCACAGGGCATAATAGTGAGCAAGGACTTTGAAGTGTCAGCACAGCTATTGGCTTGGTTATGTTACATAGCAGATGATGTGATGGGCTCACGTTTAAGAACTTCTGAACACAGAGATGGATCTTACCCACAGCATTACCCATTTTGTTTGTTCTTAATGATGAGGATATGCCACCTTTCTGATTGTGGGCGTGTCTTCAGTCTACAAGCTGGGAGTTTGCTGCTTGTGCCTTGCCTGACTTCTCTGTGGCCATGTCATATTTGCTTAGCTGCTTAGGAATACCTAGAGAGGAGCAAAGACAAGCTTATATGAGTGAGAGGAATGCTGCCTTGACTAGATGCACATTTGTCTGTGTTCAGCCTATTGCAGATACAGAAGCCTCCTGGGAGATTGCCTATCCAGGGAACGTTATCCAGTTTCTGTGCTTGATCTATCACAGTTATACTCAGGACCCCGTGTGGCACTGTCCTGACTTCTTGAAAACTTTGGCTATGGTTGCTTTCCATTCTGGACCACCCAAGGTATGTGCATCTGAGCCAGCACAAGCCCTTCAGATCAGAGATGGATTGCTAGGAGGAAAAAACAATTTGAAAGGGATATTATGGTTAAAATGCATTGCTTCTGCTTCCACAGGGAGGCTCTGAAGGCCTTTTGTCTCCTGATGGTCCAGCCATTGCTGAAGGGAAAGGCTGTGTTGATTCCTCCTCTCTCCCGCTCCTACCACACCCTGCCAAGAAACAAGTGTGGGATTTTGTGCGAGTCCTCCTGATGGATAGTCTTCTCAACATCCCAGCAAACAAACAAGGGCACCCACTTGAGCTTCTTCTTGAGGTCTCTCTTGTAGTCATCAGGCTTTGCTGCTCTACCTTGCACTGGGGGTGGAAGGACAGGAGGTATCCTGGTAGTGGCCTGGTGAAAAAAGTGATGACAGTGATGAAGAGGTGTACTCAGTCAGCATTTTCAACAGTGTAGGATAAGGCTGGGATCACAGCTCTTAGAGAGCATGCACTACTTCCTGCCAGATCTGGACAGCCTGCTTAGTGGAATGGAATTTCTACCTTTTCAGCAAAGAAGACAGACCTTTTGTGCCTGCTCTGCATTGATGTGAACTAAGAAAATGCTGCCCCTAGACAACAACAAAGGCATTTTTCAGGCAACATTTAACATTGAAGTAAGGCATGAAAAAATTTCCGTTTTCCTTAGTAATACCTGCTTATCATTAGAGCAGCCCTTGAATTTGTTGAGAAGATTTCACATGGAGCATTCCTGTGTACTGATTTTTGAGACAACGATTTCTTTTCAATGCTCAAATAAACCAAAACCAACTGTCTTCACTTTTAGGACAGACTAATACAAGCTGTAACAGCTGAGTCTGGATTATGGATTTCAACCACTCAAAGCACTGGAAAGATTTAGAGTAGTCTGAAGAAAGGGAAAATTGGGAAATTTAGCCTTCAGCTCCAAATTGTCAGTAGTCCAGGTGTCCCAGGTGTGAGTTCTGATGCAGACTTTGCTTAGTAATACAAATAGTAATGGACATAAGCTTGACTGCAGCTGTCATGAGTTAAATCGTCTTGCAGAGCAGCAGTTCCCTAAAGGTTTATACAATAACATCTCAAGGCCTGATACAGTTTAAAATAGAGGATGGCTCTTCTGATTATCTGAATCCTGAGCCTGCTAAATGGAGCTAAAATTCCCTGAGGGCAAGATCTCTTGGGAGCCACCTGTGAACCTAGGTTCTGGCCCTGTGCAAAACCTTGTTTGTGTTCAGTGTGCAGAGGGCAGCTGTGCTGGCTGTCAGCTAGAGAGAGTAGACCTATGTAAGATTTCCTGTTTTCCCAGCTAGGGTATGAGGTTCTGCAGTCTCATCTGCTGTCCAGGAGCTGTCCACATGTACACTCTTGCTGAACTCTGTATGAGAGGTGCCTTGTTGCCTTTGCACAGAGGAGTACACCAGATCTCTGCATTTATGTGTTACTGTGGATTAGCTGTCACAGATAACTTCTCAGCTTGCAGCCGCTGTTTGATATGTCCACAAGAAGGGCTGAAGTGTGCAAATGAGGTGGAGTAGTTGTCCTTGCTCTTTTTGTGCTGTTTTTCCCCTCCTCTTCCTAACACAGCGCCTAGGTGTTTAAGGGAAATGTCAGGCATTTTGAGTGATCTCAGATAGTACTGAATGTCTCTTGGAATTTCTACTCACTTCTTTGAGAAAAACTTTTACTGGAGCTGAATCTTTGGCAGTCATAATCTTCCAAAGATCCAATTAAATCAAAGGCCTTTGAGTAAAGGCTGAAAATGAATTTGAGTCTGATTTCCTGGCTGTTTTCCTGCTGTACTAATATGTATACGGTCACTATATAGGCTTCTCCAGAGGGTGCCACCAGTGAGCAGAAGAGACATTTTCAGACAAAAGTTTTACTGTCTGCTATGGACATCTTCCATGTTACCAGCCAAGGCGAGGGGAAAACAAGACCAAGAGGTGAGTGGTGAGAATCAGATCATTAGCTAGCTGGTATTTAGCATGTAGCTGTAATTCCTAGAAAGGTTTGGAAACAGCAGCTAGGACTGTCCATTCACTCCTGCTGTAGGCCAGTTTGCATAAATTACTGTAGTTTTACCATTTTTCTAGAGAACCTCTTCACTTTTTTCTCTCTTTTTGAGAACAGATTCTGGACATTAAAAAGGGAGTACTTAGAAAGAAACCTAGGTTTATCTTTGAGTGCTTCTGGAAACAACCCTGATAACTTAGTTGTTGCTGCTCTCCTTTCTGAGTCATTAGTTGGACCAGTCCTTCATGACGGTATTTTAGTGAGATTGGTCCTGTCCTTAGGATGGAGCTGTTATTTCCAGTCTGAGTAAGGTATTTCTACTAGACCTAGAGTTTTCTTAGACACATCCCAACTTTGAGACATTATGGCATGAGAGTGTTCCTTCTCAGCTCTGGTAACCTCACATCTTGCATCTTTTTTTTTTTTTTTTTTTTTTTTTTTTTTTTTTTTTTTTTTTTTTTATTTTGGAATAATCAGCCCTCTTGTATACTCTACAGGGAGCAGTGATCCTCATGACACTTCAGAATCAACTGCACCTGTATCCATGATGAATATTGCTTATTGTGTTCAGAAGCTGATTGAGAAGCTGAACAGCAGAATGTTTGCTGCTGACCCCAAGCAAATTCTGATCTTCACTGCTAAACAGATTATGGGGGTGAGTCACATGAAATTTTTTTCCAACTGTTATAAACATGTTGTAATGTGCTTTGTTTCACACTGAGGTCGTGGTACTGCAATTCTCAAGAAGTTGGCTGTAATCCATTTGGTGATTGTGATTATTCCTGTTTTCTTGCATTTTCCTTCTCCCCTCTGGGAACCCCCCATTTTTTTTTTTTTTTTTTTTTTTTTTTTTTTTTTTTTTTTGCATTTTAGCTTATTTTGGAATAATCAGCCCTCTTGTATACTCTACAGGGAGCAGGGATCCTCATGACACTTCAGAATCAACTGCACCTGTATCCATGATGAATATTGCTTATTGTGTTCAGAAGCTGATTGAGAAGCTGAACAGCAGAATGTTTGCTGCTGACCCCAAGCAAATTCTGATCTTCACTGCTAAACAGATTATGGGGGTGAGTCACATGAAATTTTTTTCCAACTGTTATAAACATGTTGTAATGTGCTTTGTTTCACACTGAGGTCGTGGTACTGCAATTCTCAAGAAGTTGGCTGTAATCCATTTGGTGATTGTGATTATTCCTGTTTTCTTGCATGAGCATATAATGGGTCTAAATGACAATCAGAACTAGATGGTGCAGTATAACGAAGGGATAGTTAGCTCTTTGGTGCCACTGTCTGTTGGCTATGTACGTGTTGCTGAACAGGAATAAATTAATCTCCTCCACAATTCCAGGGACTTCAGCAGAAATACAGGAAAATTGAATTTGTATCTAACACATAGTTCAGTGGAATTTTCCTGAAATAAGTTTGCAGCAGCTTAAATGAAGTGAGAGGAGTGGATCCTTGGGGAGAGAGTTCGTTGAGCAAGCCAAGTACTCTGCTGTTTTGTCTTTTCACAGGTCTTAGAAAGCTCCATTTCTCAAAAGGAAGTTTTCCTCAGTGCCCTATACAGCTGTCTAAACAGAGTCATCCTACACTGCTTATCCAGACCACAACAATCGCTGCCTGAACAGTTTAATGTCCTGAACACTCTCAATGTCCTGCAGGAGCAGTGGGACATTATTTTTGCAACTTACAACTCAAATAATAATTTCATCATCTGCCTAATGTACTGCCTTTGCCAGCTGAATTCAGGAAGGTACAAATGTTCATCTCAGTATAACATTTGTTTACATCTTTGTGCTGTTATCTACAGGAGTGGGTGCAGAGGGGGAGATTTCACAAAACTTAGGCAATATCCATTTGGGGGAATTGCTGGAAGCTGAGATTAAGCTGGATTCACCTACAGTAAGGACTCTGGATGTAGTATATGTACTGTATCCTAGCAAGCATTTGACCCATTGGGCTCAGTGCTCTGGGGGTTTAAAGCACCATTCTGCTTTAAATAGAGCAAACATTCCAGTCTGATTTGGTGTCTGTTGAAGTGGCAGAGTAAAGCCACTTGAGGAAAGATGGTTGTTTTCCTCATACACTTAAAAAGAAAGAAAAACAACAACAGAAATGTTTTCATGTAATTTTTTATCATTTAATTTGGAGTAGAAGAAGGTTACTAATGTGCTTAGTATTCTGGAGGCAATGGATTGTCTTTCAGCAAGAAAGCAGAAGAGATAAACTGTTCTTCAATCAGAAGGCTATTTTCTTCTTGAAACACTAGTAAGCAGAAAATTTCATACCACCTCTCTTGCTCAGAAGCAGGCTGGTATGTATGTTTGTGGGTGTAATAAGCAAGGCACAGTGGATGGTAATAATGTAGCACTTAATTCCATTTTTTTCATTTCGAAAAGGGTGTTTCATTTCAGATACACCCAGACAAGCTTGCATGTTTGTCTAAGCAGAACCCTTAAATTTGCACATAGGTTTAATTGCTACTCTTTATTAACCAAAACATCTGTGTGTACCTGTTTCACTCATCCAGCATTTCCAGCAGCTTACTCACTTCGGAGTAGTAACTGCAGTTAACAAGCTTGAACTGATTTCAGTGGAGTTGGCTCACAAGCCCATCATTAAAATGAGAATATGGAAAACTTCCTGGGATGTGGGCTAGAATCACTCCCCAAGCATGCAGGTGGCCATTCTCTGAGACATCTGCCTGGACTAATTTAGGGAGATGTTTCTTCTGATCCAGCAGCTATTCTTATGTGGGTACATTTAAAACATATATAAAACTGTGCATGGATCTTGTGAATCTTTCTGTTGTGGTTATTGTTACTTGCATCTGAGCTGCAAAGTCCTGGTTGTACTGAAGTTGTGAGTTTTGCCATTGACTTGGATAGGGCTAGAACATCCATGCACGCTCTGTTTGCTATTCTTACAGGTGATGTGTCAGAAGTACTCTTGCTAATGTAAGCTGGGGAGTTATTTTGGACAACTCTGTTTTGTCAAAAGAAGCAAATATTGGCTAGTGCTTTATTCACTATAATGATGTTCATTGTTTCAATGAAAACCGTCTGTGCTGCTTAGATGGTCTGAATTGAATCCATTAATACAGTATCACATCAGAAATGAGCGGCACTTCCTGAGGTCTTTTCTTGATTGTTCTTATTCCAGTCAGATAATAATTTCCAGGCCAAAACTGTTGAGATGGGGTAAGGATTGTTTGTATGTAGCAAGAGCATAAACATCAAAAAAACCCAAAGCAGAAATGTTGGTGTTATCCAAAAGCCAAACATAGCAGATCCAGGGAATCAGAATTGTGGTATTTAAAAGAAAATCAGAAATAAAAATGGCAGCTTTGCATACCCAAGAGATTTGACTCTCCCATGTAGTAGTGCCTGTTTACAATTGAAAGAACATAGTATGTTACTAGTGGCTGTATATAATATATATATTATTGACAGCATTTCTGTGACCAAGTATACATTGTCTGGATGTCTTAACTAAGCCTGTTGCATTTATTGTAAGTAGTATGCTGTGCTGAAATTCCTGGTGTCTTTTACCTACTGACTGGTAAATTATCTGACACACACCCCACACACACCCCCAAAGCAGCACTAACTCTTTTTGGCAGTGGTGATGTTCTCAATTATAATCACATCTACGTGATACTAACATCATGGTGCTAAAGTCTGCAGTTTTTTTGTGCTGAGTGGTTTATAAACTGAATGGGTTCAGGTGCTTACCTGAATGGAAGATACCTCCAGTGAAGAAATTCAGAGCAATGAGATGGCATACAAGATGCTCAGGGGAGGTGCAAGAAAGCTGTATACAATCTGGCTACACCAGTACAGCCCTGTGTTCCAGGTAATTGAGATGAATGGTAGATACAAACGCACTGAGAACTACAGGGATAAGGCATGTACAACAGTGTGTTCCGTAGGATCTTGATGAGTGCTCCTTGATTTTGAAAACCAGACAGGCAGTGGTTTAGTTCCCACTTCCTGTAAATTCTTCAATATCGTGATTAGTGTAAGCCCTCGAGCCTGGGAATATTGGTCTACTAAATTAATCAAGTAGGAATGGACGTGTAGAAATACCTTTAGCTTTTTCACTATCCTCAGTTTGTTCAAGTCTGGTTTACTCATGTGCCCTCCTTTTTTTTGTCACAGCTATCCAGAAGGTTTTGGGGTGGATGCAAAACCAAAGTTGGCTTCGTATCACCAAATTTTCCTTGCACCCAGTGAAGAGGACAAAGGCAACCTGCCTACTCCAGATGATGGTAATTTATGGCACACTTTGCCTTTGGCTTACAGACCAGGAAAGTGCCTGGCCTAAACAGTTATCAGAGCAGTTTGTGCAAGTGCTACTGAATTGCCTCTTCGGTGTATAGGCACTGCAGGCACAGCATAGAGAAAGGAAGGTTGTGCTAAAAATTACTTCTGTTTGCATCATACCTTTTTATTCAAAATTCACACCCCGCATCCTCAGAAGTAATGGATATCAGTTTGGAGCTCTCTTCCCCATGTTGTGGCCAGTATCAGTGCCCAGCTACATACTATTTGTAGCTCTATTTCTTTTTTCAAGGCCTATACAGAGCTTGTGTCTGTCTGTTGTACACAGGAAGAAACATTTTGATCTTTTAAAAGAAACACTGGAAAAAATTTTGGGCAGGTTTCAGTGTGAGGGCTCTCAGCTGAACCCTACAGCAGAGTGATGCTCTTTTTTTTATTTTTTTTTAATATATATATTGGCTTGGATATGATGCAACCAGAGAAGTCTGATTTGCAGGGGAATACAGCAAAACAGCTCAGCACTTCCTTGTACAGCATCCTGTTGCTGTGTCAAATTGTTTCACGACTTGGTTACCTTCCCCCACTGTGTCTAATGATGTTTGGCAACAGGATGCTTTAGCACTCTCTGTATGATAATAAGATCATCAAAATTCTGATGAGATGGTTTTCCAAGGCAGAAAACAGTTAGAATAATCTGTCGCTCCTACTTGTTTCTTTCGGGGAGTTGAAACGTAGTAAAAGAAATGTCCTGCTGTTTTCTGTATTAGACTAGCCAGTCTGGCTTAGAACCTATGGAGGCAGTAGACAAAATGGAGCGACTCCACTGACTCCAGCAGTTACTCTTGACCAATGTTGTTACAAATGAGATGTTTCTACTTTATCTGCTGCTTGACTTGTTACACAAAAAATTATTCTTCATTTGTAGTTTCTTTTTTTTCTTAGTCCATCAGGAAATTCTGAGAACAGTAGAAATCATCTGGAAGCAGCTCATTTCTCAGAGGCGGCAGGCTCTGGAGGACACTTACAAGATGGATCTTTCTATAAAAGGAAATGACAAAGAAAGGGACATGAAGATAACAGAGATCACTCCTTTATGGGAAGAAATTATGACAAAAGCATGGCAACACTTGATAGGTCTCTGTTCTTTTATGGAGCACTCGTTGTAGTAAGCAAAAACATTGCAGTAAATGTAGCGCTTAATGGAAAGCCTCTGATTCCTTGGTTATACCCTTCCTCTGCACATCACCTGCTAGACAAAGCAGATTCTCAGTTTCTCTCATCCAGGATTGTGATTGCTTTCTGTGTCATGCCCCAGCCCTTCTGTAATCATCTGGTGATGTTGTAGGGCTCGTACGGTACTGCAAGAAAGAGAAATCTCCTTAGACAATTGTATCCCATTAGAGAATTTAAAAGGGAGGATATTTGAGTGACAAACAGCATCCCAATGTGTGTAGTGCTGCAGGGATTCAAAGTTCATGTCTGTATAATGACACTGGTCTATGGCAGACCTCTGTGAGGCTTTTAAATAAAGACTTGAGAAGTACATGTTAATTCAATGCTCTTCTTGCAAAAAGAAGGACAAGCCAGCTGGAGTGAGGCACTGCCATGTTCCTGTGTCTTGTGTGAAGTGGATACAAACCCTCTACCTTCCCACAGGCTCAACTTCAAGTCTTACAAGCTATTTTTTCTGTTCTGGCCCACAGCATCTGAAAAGAAGATTCTCCAGACTAAAGCAGGGCCAGGCCTGTCACAGAGCAAGCACAATTCCTGGAGTGAAAGCTTGTCTTCAGCTATTAGGTTGATGCCTGGCCGAAACACAAAGGAAATGGCATGCAAATCTGAGGTAAGTTCTGCTTTTTGTCTTTTCTGGCACTGTCACCAGCTCTGCCTTTGATATGGCTCTGGAGAGTTTGTCTGGACCTGGGAGGCTTCTGAGTATTTCTGTTGACATGTTCCATTGTAAACTAGACACCTATTGCTGTTAAGGTTCCTTTTCTAGACTGCTAGAAGTAATCACTAAGAAATAGTCATTGATCTGAAGAACTTCAATTGGCAGCCTTAAGGAATAGAATTGGATTGGAAAAGACCTTTAAAATCATTAAGTCCAATTGTTACTTTTTGCATGAGGCCTAATTATTGCACTTGAAAGGACAAACCTAAGCAACCCATGTGTGCTTGTGCTCATGGGGCTCTGCTTGGGTCAGAGCAAGGTGAGGAGATGCTGGTTTTGCTGCTGCTTTTGGCTTACATCGGTTATGTAAACCTTGTCCTTCGGACACTGAATTAATAGAAAGGATCAGGTATTACCATAGTACTGTCCTTTCATTTTCTACTCAATATGAAGTATTAAAGGTCCAAATTTTAGTTTAGCCTCAAGAGATAAGGAGACAAGTGCTTATATAAACCAGGGATAGGTCTGGAGGGTATGCAGCTTTGCTACTGCCAGCAATGCAGCTGGACTATCTTTTCCATGTGTAAGCTCCTCCTTTGCTGACAGGGCCATTTCCATGTTTTTGCTGGGCATATATGCTGAGAATACAAATAAAAAGCACCAGTTAGATGTTACTTGCTTAAGTGTGTTAGGGCTAGAGTAACCAGCTATATAGGGTAGGGCAGCAGTGCATTGACAGAATATTCAGAGCTTTGGACTGAGGTTGTGTTATTGCAGTGCTGAACATATTAAGGTCTTTTTTTCTCCTCATGAGAAGATAGTGAGTCTGTTACAGCTTCAGTTTAGGGAGTCAACCCTCTAGCTCAAGCTGTAGCAGGTTGCAGCTTTATCTCCAGTGATGACTGGTTCACTTCTAGGTGTGTTGATCAGGAAAGCTATGATACACAAGTAATGTGTCTGATAGTACCTTACTGAGCTGCAGGTTTTTTCTCAGCATGCCACAGCATCCTTCTAATTCCTTAAAATCACTTTGCTGCTTACAGAAGGAGCAAGTTCTTTCCAGGTACATAATGTAGACTGTGATGTCATACTACAAGAGCATCGACTATTTGCCCTGGGGTCTGTTTAATTATTTTTTAAAATTAATTTTGATTATTACAGCTGATTACACCTCAGTGAGCAATGTAATTGATATTTGTAAATGTATCCCAAGGAACATTTTGTACAACATGCTTTTTGCTGTTGAAGGTTAAAGACTCCGTTATTGGTTTTTCCCTAAATATGCCCACATCATTAGTTCCTCCAGTGAAAAGGTTGCCATCTGGAAAAGGCAGCACGGAGACATTATTCAGGCACAAGTGCATGAAATTGGTGTTTCTGCATCTTCTGTCTCTCTTCTGCAAGGAAGCGGCTTGTAATTAAAGGAGCTGGGTTTGGAGGAAACATTACTCATTTGGTGTTATTCCTTATCATGTCAAGGACTGACAGCTCCACAGCTCTGATAAATTGTTCCTCTCAATGACATGTGAAGCTACACTTCCAAATGTTCTCTACTCTCCCTCTCCCCCTTTCTCCCTCCAGCCTATCTTTGAAAGAGTTTGATGCACTTTTCAGAGAGATGAAATCTAAGGGGAAGAAAATTAATTTATTTGCTCCTCAGTGGCCCTCTTTCTTCATACACTTCACAAGCAAGGTATAAGGTGGGATTTTCAGCATCAAAGGAAGTTGGGAGCACAAGTTACATTAAAAGTAAATGGTATTTGTGCTTCTAACTTGTATTTTTGACCTCACTTTGGTAGTCAGTTTAAAGGTACCTTTAAAGGTGCTGTAACGTGATTTTGTATGATTTTTGGTGTCTCAGGTGCCTTCTGTATTCACTTGTGAAAAATCTTCAAATACTGGCCTCTGTCTTTACTACTGCTAGTTATAGACCTATGTCATACAGCAATAGGCACCTGGTTGAAACATTGAGATAAAAGGATAAGTAGCAGTACGAACTACATAGTGAGAGACAAAGCCTTTAAATCCCATAGTAAAATAAAAATCTTTGCATTTACTGAGAGCCAAGCATGGTTGTTCCTAACTCAGCAAAACTTATTAAATTTGAGAAAAGTGAAGAAATTTAGCCAGGATTTCAAAGCTTTGCTCAGCAGAAAGAAGAAATGGGTTGGCTACTGGGTTGTTAGTTTGATTCCTGTATAGACTGAAAATAAACAAAGAAATTGAAGCAGTAGTAGCATTTGCTGCAGATGAAAAAAAAAAAAAATACAAAACACCCCCCTCAAAACTATCAACTTTTTCCCTCTTGTCATTTACAAGATAGCAAGAGTGCTTTTGAGACCAAATCCTCAATCTGGGAAAAAAACAGCAAAATTAAAACTATTCACTCCAGCAAAGGATCAGGCCCCATGTTTCTGCTGTACTTTCACTCAGGATCTCCAGCATCGGTGACACCAATTCCATGCTCTTTGGTGGCAAATAAAATTGGCAATCCAACACAGCTGTGTTTTCCCCATATTTCTGAATCCACTTTGCTATCTCATGCTCTGCTCTGGGCTTTGTCTGGAACACATGGTCATTCAGCAAGGAGAGTGTGATCACATTTCTGGTAGTAGAAAGGCAATGATCTGCTATAGTAATTGTCATCTTGTGCTTTCTTGGAAGTCTGAGTAGCCACGCAGGAGCAAGAGGAGCACTGTACAAAGTTAGATTTTTTTAATGCTTACAGTTGAGAGAGTTGGGTAAGTTTGCCAGCAGGAGGGTCTATAAGACTCTGAATACAGTGCCAAAGATTTCAAAATCATTGACTTTCCTGTTTCAAAGTGAGCCTTTTGATCTCTTGCTCTTTCTTCTCCCTTCCTCCTCCCGTCCCCCTCTACCCCAATTTTGCTGTCAGAATCTAGAATATGTATTTAATTTTTAGGTTAGCAATGACTGATTGTTTTTGTCATCTTCAACAAGCTGCAAGAGCAGCAAGGGACCACTATAACAATCATATTTCAGTAAATTAGTCAACAGCTTCTACCATGCAGTGTCCTGAGGTTCTTCCTGAGGATGAGTGCCTGAGCAAGGTTATAAGCAGCATACTTCTAACTACTCTAAGACACACTGCCTCAAGGCTGTAGATATAGTTGTTATCCTTTACAAGAAATGCAGAGCCTCCTCAGTTTTACAGCAGGCCTGATCATGTCTGTCCTCTCCTGTTTTAGTTCATTAATTACATTCATCTATGCCAGAGACCCATATACCTTGAGAGAATGAAATAGAAAAGGTCTTTTTAATCCCAGTCTTTAGAATGAAGAGGTTAACAGAGGCCTCCTAACTTGTAATTGCAAACCCGGAAACCTTATGGTAGGATTTGAGTCAGCAAACGTACACTTGTGAAGACAGCTATAGATATAGAGCCAGCATCTGACCTCCTTTGTGCCCGTTTTGTCACTCTGTCCATTGCAACAGAATTCTTCCTAGTTAAGTGATAGGAGAACGCAGCTGTTGAACTCTAAGGATTTTTGAACAGTTTGATGAATATCTTGGTTTCTGCTCTGCTGCCCTCAGTGCATGCAAGGTCACTGCAGAGCTAATGGCAAAAAAAAAAAAAAGCATTTAATGGTGTAGCTCTACAAACCAGAAAATACAAGGTGCGAAGTTTGGATTGACTGGGAGTGATTCATTTTTCTTTAGTTGGCTTTGTAGTAAGAGCCCATCTCTTGTGCTTACTTTTGTAAGCAACAGGCAGATTGTTAAACCCACAGCAAATCTGTTAAAAATAACTCCATCAATGTGTCAGCGAGAGCCACCTTTGTCTCTGTGGATAACTTTCTGAAGTCAGGAGCTCCAAGAAAACACCTCTTAACTGAGACTTAAGTCACTGTCAAACAGAGAATCTACTTCAGTTCCTTTTGAAAATTCTTCCTCTTAAATTTTTACAATGTAATATTTTATTTATTTATACTGACGGCTAAGAAGTCTCGAGGTACCTGCTGCAAAGAAACTGCAAGCTCATTAACTCATTTAGGAAGGTGGGTTGTATGTCCTCATCTTATCACTGTGCAAGAAGATAGTCATATGACCAAGAACCACTTGAATTCTGCATAGTTTCCTAACAACAGATATCCTTGCTTAAAGTAATAACAAATGTCTCTTGGGCAAGCTCCACTGAAAGTTGTCTGTTGAGTCCTGCCTCTATAGTTAGATTCCCAAGAGGAAGAATCAAATCTTTTCTAGGAGTTAATGTTTCTTTTGAAGTCTGAGAAAACTGAGGCATGTTTCAAACAACATGTTATTTCAAAGTCTTTAAGACTTTCTTTAGTTTTAGATTTACAGGAAATTTTTTTTTTTTTTAGTTTTCTCATGTGTTTATTCACCAGCCTTTTCTCTTAGCTGAAAGTGTTGTTGCTACAGAAAATTATTCATTTGTTATACCAAGAACAAAAATCTTTTCAGATTTCACAGCCAGCAAAAAAGTTTAAAAAATTGTCTCACATGTAACACTCATTCTTAAGATAAATATGGCTAGTATACCTGGTATCTCTAGTGATTCACCTGTGGTGGTAATGCATTGTATTTTGAAAAGTATTTAAACATAGCATTCCATTGACTGCAGTGGGACTTTGAACTACAGACTTACATTCCTTCCTTCCTGGAAATTTAAATCTCTACATCAACACTTACAGGGTTTTTTTTAATGTGTTTTGTATAGTGCTAGAACTTACTTACCTAGTACAAATAGTAGCTGCACCACAGATACAGGATCAGTCCTGTCTGGGGCAGGGCTCTCACCCCACATGAAACCATCAGGAAAGAGCACTGTGGCTTCATTCGCTCCTGGCTGTCAGTCTTGCTTCACACTTTTTGCAGCCATCTTTACAGGTTTAGCATTAGGTGTGGGGGAAGAGGGAGAAATGACCTGTTTTAAATTAATATGTATAGGTCATACTCACAAATTCTTGGGT